TCTCCACAATCACATGAGCAAAATTCAGACGCTTGGCAACTGACTCATAGTTATGGCGGTTGCAGTGTCCCGGGGTTGCATGATTCCCTTTTGCGACCTTCTGACAAGCAAAGTCAATGGGGGAGTCAGATTCACTTAACAACCGTGGCAAAAGAGGTCATAAAATGGGGCAAAATTATCTTAACTGTCTCAGTAACAGAAATTTTGGACTCAATTGGGGACTTAAGTTGAGCACTACCTGTATCAGGTTCCTTTTTTCCAGATGGAAGAAATTAAGGAAGGTGATATTGGTGGCAATACGTTTCCATATGGGTGGCAGCTACCCCAAGGGAATGCGGTTACAGTGGTGTTTTTCCCACTTAAAAACAAAGGAAAATGGTTTGTCTCCTGCACTCTTTCTTCCGCCTTCCATGTCGCCCCTAATCAGACTCCTGAGCCAAAAATAGAAGCCCTTTGCTACTCCCTGGACCTGGCTCAGTGCACCCTTCCTATCCGATTACCCGACCAAGCGCACTCAAGCAGACAGGGTACCAAAGCCTCAGCTGCATCGTTGTCAGATGGAAAAGCACAACCTGTGTTCAGGGTTTTGTAAGGCACAAGAAAGCATTGCATACTTGGAGAAGTGTCCCTGCATTGAGATCCTGAGCTGGAAGGCGAACCGTTCTCTGGGAGGGAAGGTCCAGAATGCAACCTGATTAAACACACGTTAACCATAAAGCTTAGAGCCAGGAAAGGGAAAGAGGGTTGAAGCAGGAGTGCTGTGCTGAGACTCCAGTAGACTCAAAGGCTTACAAACCTGTTCACAGCTTGAAGTGAATACTTTATTTGGCAAATGCGATTGGACCCGCAAGGAATTTGTCTCCGATACAGAAGCTCTCAGCAAAGCAACATAATAATAATAATAGTAATACCAATAAGAGGGAGTAAAGAAGATAATAAAAAGGATAAATAATAGTACAGTCACACTGGGTTAATGGGCATTAGCAGCACTGAGAGAATTAAGGGTTCAGCAGAGTGATGGCACGAGGGGAAAAACTGTCCCTGTGTCTAATTGTGTTGGCATACAATGCCCTATAGCAGTGATGGCTAACCTTTTTGCCGTCGCGTGCCAAAAGCAGGGAGAGTGCCGGGGGAGGGGTCATGCGCACGTGCCCACACCCATAATTCAATGCCCACCCTGCCCCCTGCCCCCCACGCATACACACGTGGCCTCCCCACATGCACACACGCTCCCCCCCGTGCCCTGTTTTGGGCCTAGCAGGCTTCCCTGAAGCCTCCGGAGGCCGGAAAGGGCCCATTTCCAGACTTCCCATAGGCCCGTTTTTCACCCTCCCCAGGCTCCAGAGGCTTTCCTGGAGCCTGGGGATAGCAAAAACGACCTTCCCCACCCCCTCTGGAGGCTGAAAACGGCCTCCCAGAGCCTCCATGCGAGCCCTGTACTTAGCTGGCATCCAAAACGGGCTCCTCCAAAAACCCATTCTCATCGCTACAATTTTAAACATGTTAAGCTCCAGATTGTTACAATCAAAAAAAGTCAAGGTGGCGACCACAATAGTAAAATTGAACCTTTGCCCATTTTTATACACTGTCTCGACTTTTTGACCATGTACAATTGGGATGCCTGAAGTGTTACCTGGCACTGGGGCACACAAGAGCCTTTCAGGCCCACAAAGCAGGGATGTGATTAGTTTATGAATTTAATGTTGGATACATGAGCATGCATGTTAAATAAGTAAGAGAACATACAATATATACATTGTAGTGACTTGGGGTGCACCACATTCTGGCATGGGAAGGTCCCTCATACAGGCCCTAGCTGGGCAGTGAGCTCAAGTGGGCAAGGCTGCATCTGACAGACAAGGGGGGCGTATGGACAAGTAGGGGTTTCCTTTGTTTTTGAAGGGCAGAGCTTTTTTGCAAAGTGCACTTACCTGTTTCCTTCTATAGAATTACAGGAAATTGCTATCAATTCTTGGCAATCAGACTAGCAAATTTGGCAATGCAGCAATGCAGTTGGAGGACACTCATAACCATAAAAAGGTTTTTTGGGGATTACATGGAAGCAATTATGTACATTTCCTGCAACACAATGCAGAAGTCACAATTTGAGCCAAGTTTCTTAGAAAAGGAAGTGGCATTTCAAGGAGATTGAAAATAAAAGGGCAGTCGTGTTTTTCCATAAGTATTCACACATTTTTATGAATACCCCAATCTACATTTTTGTTCCATAATCAATACTTATTGTACTGCCCATCACTCACCAAAATCTTCAAGCATGACAGTAGTTTGCTTTGTTCACATTTAAGGGATTGTGCAAGAGATAAACTTAATCCTACCTCCTTCCCACCTGAACTCTGCATTACATGTGTTTTAGCCATTTTCTTGTCAAATCTGGTCTCTTCTGTTCGCTGGACGTGTGGATTTTCTAGCAAGGCATCAATATGAAAGGGGCTGGTGGTCTCTGTTTCTCTCCAACAAAGCTGGGCAGTCTCTGAAGGGGCAGGAGATTTTAATTGTTCAACATTTCCAATATTTTAACAAGCCCACCTAGGTGAGGCTTGTGTGCAAGTGGCAGCATAACATCCTTTGCACTCATGATGTTTTCCTACAATGGGCAGCAGGCCAAGATTTGAAGTGTGAATGAGTTTTCCAGACAGTAGAAAATGGAAAAGGAAAATGGAAAGCCACAGGATGTCACATTCATTCTATTCCTTTAGTTTCTCCAATTTCAACCGGGTGGAGGGTGGATCTTGCAGCAGTGGGCACTGCCAGCGCAGCTAACCAGAATCTCAATAGAAATTTTATCTTGTGTCAGAAAAAAAGAACAGTTGAATGAATTATGGCTATATACATTCTGTGGCCAAAGAATCCTTGTGCTTGTTTTTTTTATCTGTTGGCATTATGAATTGAACTCCCCCCCCCAAATTTGACAGTTAATTAGAAAAAACATTAACTGAATCAATTGAGGTGCAATTCTAGAGAAAGATCAATCAGAGAACCTTATTACCTGTCAACCTTACTCTGCTTGTCCAAATATTGGAAATGTTAAACAAATAGAACATTTCTGAGATGTTGGACCATCCTGCCCCTTCAGAGACTGCCCAACCTTGTTGGAGAGAAACAGAGACCATCAGCCACTTTCATACTGATGCCTTGCTAGAAAATTCACACTTCCAGTGAACAGAGTAGACCGGATTTGACAAGGTCAGGGAGAAAATGGCTAAAACAATTTACAATAACATAAAGGTAATGTCTCTTTCAGATTGAGCTTGACCTCATTTAAATTATATATGGGAGTATTTAAGTTCCTTTATAAGATACTTATAAGTATATAAGTATCTTTTTGCTTACATAGGCACTCTAGATGGCTATTTAAATTTGAGGCACAATTGCCTCCTAATAACATGCACACTGCTGAAACATTAAAGGCACAAATTAGTGTATTCAATTTAATGACATATTTACGCACATTGTTTTGTTCTGTTTAATATTAAAAGCAAAGGAATTCGGAAGGGCAAGAAAAAATTCACTGCTTTTGCTTCCTGATTCCACTAAAAAAAGGGACAGCGTAGCATGATGATGCTTGTGTTTCCAACTGCTTTTTCATACCTTAGCAGTGTCAACTTTCTCCTCAAAGTCCCTCAATAGCAATGCATCAACAAGCAAATCACACATGGTGAAGCCTGAGTCCACCTGCTTTGCCTTGGTCAGTGTTTCTTTCGGGCTGCTTGACTTTCCAGGGCCATCAACTCAGCATTTTAGCTTTGATCCTTCACAAAATCCAATATTTCTTTTAAATACAACAGGGCTTGCATTGCACAGATTTCCAGAACTTTGAAGAGGGCAGTACAAGTAGTAATGGCTGGAAGCTCATTAAAGAGAGATCCATCCAGCCTGGAAATAAGATAACCTTTCGTATCATTTTCCTGTATACAGTACATAATGGCACACATTAAAATGAAATTCCACTGTACTGTACGAGGAGGAACTGATTACAGCTTCAGAAGTTGTAGGTGTTCACTGGAGGTTTTAAAGAGACTGGACAGCCATTTGTCCAGAATGGCATATGGGGTTGAATTAGAAGACCTCCAAGGTCCCTTCCAGCCCAATTCATCATTGAGCACTTGTCTTTTCATAGCATCCTCCTCCAACTGTAATGTCAACTCTCTTCTCTCTCTAGTGACACACATCCTTTCAAGAACCCCCAAATTATTCCCCACCCCACTGCCTTCTTCTGCCCTGTTTTTCAACTTCATTCAGCCTGGGCTTTCCTGGTGGTCTCCCATCCAAGACTGATCCACTCTTAAATGTTTAGTGCTGCTACTCCACTGAGCGGGTTAAACTAAGCCAATCCCACATTGAAACACATCTACAAGGCAGGATGTGCCTTGGCTGCATCGCCTTCTTGGTGGGGATGATGGGTATTGTTATCCCAGCCATTCCCAGAAGGCTCTTCGTGTTCCCGGAATTATTCACTGGCGGGTTTGTGTGTTGAGGTGACAATTGGTGACATCCAATTCTCTTATTTGTATTGATTTACAAAAGCGAGACGTCGCCTCAAGAAGCTCGACCCTCACTGAAGGCAACAAAAAAAAAAAATCCCCAAAAGGGCGGGAAAAAAGCGGCTTTTATAGGCTCCGTTTTTGTCCTCTCCCCGCCTTCCCTCCCAAACAGCCAATGAGAGAAGGTGCTACGTTAGAGACAGGAAAAATAAACCGTTTGTGGGAGGGGAAAAAGGAAGGGTATGACAGCCGCTGATTGGTCCACTGGAGAAAAAAACCCGAAAAGAACTTTCCAAAGGAGAAGGCGAGGGCGGCAAAAGATCTGCACGTGACGTCAAAGACGGACCAATGGGAAGGCGAGTCTTCTCTGACGCAATCGGTCTTGCCGCCGCCTTCTCGGATGATAGGATACCTCAGAGAAACGAAAAGAAGAGTTGTCCTCCGCCCCGGAAGTGCTCGCCAGGCTTCTCTCTCTTTCTAACTCAGAGGAAAACAAGCGGATATAAATGCCCGTAGACACCACTGTTAGTTTAAAAATCAATGGGGTGGGGAGAAATCAAGATTTCTCCAGTGACTTCCAGCGAGAGCGGCTGAGCAGGAGAAAGTGGCCGTTTCTTTTCCTATATCTGTGGGCGACGGCGCTTCCGCGATAGAGACGCCGCGGGCTAGAGCGCACCTTCTTCCGGACTGACTCGCGCTATGGTGCGGTTTAAAAACCGGTGAGGCTTCGGCGGGCGGGCGGCAGGGAAGGAGGGAGGGCTGGGCTTGGCCGCTTCCCACGGGAGCTCGAGGCGCGCGGCGGCGTTTGGAGCCCTTGTCCCGCCGAAACAGCCGCTGCCTTCCCACGACGCGTGGACACGCGGGCTAAGCGCGTGGTGGTGCGGATGAATAGAATGAATGAGCTGGAAGGGTCCTTGGAGGTCCTCCAGTCCAGCCCCCTGCTCAGGCAGGAGAATCTATATTATTTCAGATGAGTGACTGTCCAGTCCCTTCTTATAAAACCTCCAGGGATGGAGCGCCCACGATTTCTGGTGGCAAGCTGTTCCACTGGTTAATTCCGTTAGGAATGTCAGATGTAAATGCCTTATTCCCTAATGTGTAAATAATGTATATATGGGATATCAGGGGTTAACTTATTCTTTGATTCTTAATGTATTCATAATTCACCACTCCCACTCTTGGCTCCACCCTTTGTATATATAAGGAGCCACCTTCACCATTTTCTTTGCTTCTATCTGTGAATATTCAGTGAATATAGAATGCCTATTATAATTAAAGAGAAATAGATTTAAACCTCTAACTCTTATTATTATTATTGAGTCTGATCCTGAAAATATTGCAACAAGCTGGTAGCAGAGGATGGTTAATTGACTCAATAAATACCTAAAAATGTCTAAGAAAGATAGGCCCAACACCAGGGCCTACAGCAAAGAAATAGAAACTGAACAAGAAATAATCAACGAATCCACAAACGCGATTTCGAGAGAATCCGAAGAATACACCACTGAAGAAGAAGAATTAATAAATGAAAATGATGGCCAGGAGGAAATCGAAATAGAAAATAACGAACTCAGGTCAGAGATATTGAAGTTATTAAAAAGCCAGAAGAATGATGAAAGCCTCATCGCGAACCTCCAAGAAATGCTGAAGAACAGCGGAGCAGCGAGAGAGAAAAACATCGCTAAAGAGAAACCCAAAGACCAAAAAACTGTGAGTGATATGACTACAGAGAAAGTCGTTATGAAAAAGAAAAAATGTGATCCCGCGCGAAATTTTGAATGGCAGCCATCTTGGTTTCAACAAGCCTCCAAAGTGAGCGAAGCAGAGCCAATCAAAATGCTCAGTTCAAAATTTCTGGCGCGAAAAACGTTATCAGACAACGAAAGTGAAAAGGAGGATTCAAACTCTTCGGAAGAGCCAGAATCAGAAAATGAAGACGACTTAACGAAATCCCAAGTAAAGTCAGCAATGAAGACGCTTTTTGCTGCATTTGGGCCAAAATTAAAAATTTCCAAAGCGCCAACGAAGAAGCAAGCGAACAAGCCGATACTTCAAGACATGCACGCTCCCATCCTGACTTCGAGAGCGACGACGCCCGAGCCCAGAGAGCCATGTCGATTCCGCCCTACACCGCAAACCGAAGCAAGTGCCAACGCATCCAAAAGAAAGAGAAGAACAGTCGCCGCCATCAGAACTCCTAAGACCGAGCCAGAGACCGACTCGTCTGAAGAGGAGCGGAGCGAGCGAGCTACAATGGAGAGAACCTTCCACGACGACGCCAAAGAAGAAATGAACAACGCGCATGTGCGAAACTACGTAGACGGTCCGGAAAGACTTGAACTGGCCAGAGAACCGCGCAGACTCGTTGCGAGCATCCCCATGCCGTTTTGCAATTTCCTACACTTGCGAGACCACGGACTACCTCAGGTTGTAAGTAATGGACAAAATAATGTGGGAAACTTACCCAGTGACTTCCCAAAACTTAGGGTTGATGGCATTAATTTGCAAGAATGGTATCAACAGCTCCAGGTTGTCTTTATGAAAGAAAATTTACTATTTTTTATCACTAGTCCCCCAAGAAGACCTTGGACTTTAAAAATAGATTGTTTACACCATAAGGCATTTTTCTTAATAATATCTAGCGTGTCTCCTGCAATGTATCATAGCATCAAACCAAATCTAACTGTTTCAGAAATAATTCAATGCATGTTTAATTTGTTTCACAGCGATAGTGTAGCTACCACCACAAGAATGTCTAAGGACTTCTTTTCTTCCAGAGTAAAACCAGGGGTTTCCATAAGTGAGCATTTAATATCTTTAAACAAAATAAGAGCTGAACTGCATTTGAGGGGGGAAGTGATTTCAGATCAAACAATGAAAAGTGTTATTATCAACTCACTTGATTCATCATGGGATAGTTTTATGTCACACTTAGACACCATCAATCTAGGATATTTATCAATAGAAAGTCTGTCTAACAAATTGATAGCAGAAGACAATTCAAGAAAAAATCGTTATAGCAATCACACAGAACACAAATCTTTTAGGAAGGTAGCTTTCCAAGAAAAATATAATGAAACTTTTAAATGCCACAATTGTGGGTCCAGGGAACACAATAGAAAAGATTGTCCCAAAATTTCAAAGGAAAGACATAGGTCAGAATATAGGAATAAATACAATTATAGACAGTCTTCCACAGATAGACATAAATATAGAAGCCCACCAAATTACAGAGAAAGTAGAGGGGGCAGAGAAAATTCAAAAGAGAGAAAATCTGGTTCACTGAATGGACTAAATAAACAAGACAGCACTAAAACGCAACAAAATGAGAACAATAATTGGCTTATTGATTCTGGGGCAACTAATCACACCACTAATAACAAAAATATATTGTCTTCATTTACAGAAGATAAGTTTGTAATAAAGGTAGCTAATCAAGAAAAAGTTCAAGTATTAGGCAGAGGGAATGTGACCTTGCCTGGTCTAGGAAAAATAGAGGGGGTATTGTTAATACCAGAAATACCTCATAACATACTAAGTGCCATAAAACTAAGCAGAGATTCTGACATCAATATAGTTTTCTCAAAGGGAAAAGCAACTTTAGAGAAGAATAAAACAAATGTAGGCACTGTGATGATTAAAGGAGGCCTACCCTATCTGATAACAAAAGAAAGATGGTTACATAACATTGATTCAAATATGGAAGATTGTATTGAGGCAGATGATGAAAATATTAGTAACAGTGACAATGATGAATGTAAAATATCTCATGATCACACAGATACACACAATGAGAAGAAACCAAAAATAGGTAAACCAATTCATGACGAGTGTTCTCATATCTTACATAGGAAGTTAGGACATGCAAGTTTTCCTGTAGTACAAAAAATGACTGAACACGCAGAAGGTGTCAAAATAAAAAATTGTGAAAATTATTTGGAATGCTCAGTATGTAAATCTACTAAACTAAAAACTAGTCCCAGGCCAAAAAAATCCACCAGATCAACTAACAAAATTTTTGACTTAGTACACATGGACTTAGTTGGCCCATTAACTCCATCAATCACTTATAGAAAACGTTACTTCCTAACAATAGTAGACGATTACAGTCGCTATGGTTTTGTTTACACATTAAAACACAAGGATGAAACCTTTCAAAAATTTAAGGAATTTTACAAACGCATAGAAACACAACATAATATCAGAATAAAACAAATTATGACAGATAGGGGATGTGAATTCATGTCTAAAGAATTCTCCCAATGGTTAAAGGATAGAGGAATGCTACATTACACGTCTAGTCCATTTTCTGCGTTCCAGAATGGGATTGCAGAGAGAAAGAATTCCACATTACAAACCATGATTAGGTGCACATTAGAGGATGCTGGTTTAGGCAAACAATTTTGGTCAGAAGCCTTACATTATTCAAATTACACTCAAAATAGAACCTGGTCCAGTATTGTGAATAAGACACCATATGAGGTGATGTATAATAGGAAACCAAAATTAGCACACATGCACATATTTGGGGTCACTGCAGACGTACACATACCTAAACAGTTGAGAAGAAAGGGAGAAAACGTATCCAGAAGACTAAGATTTATGGGATATGAAACTGGCACCAAAGGGTACAGATTCATTGATAATAATAACAAATTTATAGTTTCCAGAACAGCTGTGTTCCATGAACAGGCCAACTGGTCTAAATTACATCTTAATGAAATATTTCCAAATAAATGCAAAGATACAAAATCTCGTGAGGAAGGGACAATAGAAAATCAAAATATCAACAAAAATAAAAACAAAAACAAAACATGGACAAATAGTCAACACAAAATAAAGACAGACACATTAACAAAAAAGGAAGCAAGATATTTGCATGACTACCATAGCAAACCTGAAAGAGCTATTAGGAACAACAGAAATCAAATACCAAATAAATACAGAGATTACATAATGCATATGGATGGTGAACAAATAACACCTAATACATATGAGGAAGTATTAAAACTCCCTCGTGAAGAAAAGGAAAAATGGGAACTAGCTATGAAAAAAGAGATGGAAAGTTTGCAAGGATTAAATGTATTCACACCTGCGATTGCACCTAAAGATAAAACAATTATTGGTACCAGGTGGATTTATAAAATTAAGAACCTAGAAGGAGGCAATACCCTATACAAAGCTAGATTGGTTGCACAAGGTTATGCACAAAAATATCCGGAGGACTATACTGACACGTACTCCCCCACAGTAAGAACAGAGAGTGTTAAAACAGCTCTAGTAGTAGCATCCGCACTCAATCTTGATGTATTTCAATATGACATACAGACTGCGTATCTACACGCAAAACTAGATAAGGAAATATATGTAAGAGCACCTCACAGTCAGTACACTAATAAAAATGAAATTTGGCTATTGAACAAGAGTTTATACGGATTAAAGCAATCTGGCAAAAGATGGTACGATTGCTTGGTAAAAGTACTTAAGACCATGGATTTCAACGCTACCACTGCTGATAACTGTTTCTTTGTCAAAAAGAGTGATGATTACATTGAATTTGTATTGATTTATGTAGATGATATTTTATATATAGGAAAACACAAAGAGAGAAGAGAAATCTTTGTAAACAAGCTAAATGAACATTTCTCGTTGAAATCTCTAGGTAAAGTAAACAAATATCTTGGTGTACAAATTAACAAAACTAGAAGGGGATTCAAACTTACTCAGAAAGATAAAATTATTGAACTTCTAAACAAATGCAATTTAAACAATGCCAAACCCTGTGACACTCCTATGCAAACTGATTTCCTTAGAAATACTGATGAATCTTCCCCTGAATTCAAGGATAATACATTTTATAGATCAGTCATAGGTTCACTTCTTTATATATCTAATTGGACTAGGCCAGATATTGCATTACCACTCAATTTATTATCAAGGCACATTAGCAAACCAACAGTGTATCACTGGGAAGCTGTCAAAAGAATTTTAAGATATCTGAAAAGTACATTAGATTTTTGCCTAGTATTAGAACCTAGTGATAATAAAGAACCAAAACTTACATGTTATGCAGATGCGGATTGGGCTGGAGATATATCATGCAGAAAAAGTACTTCTGGTTATATTTTTCTGTTAAATGACTGTCCAGTTTACTGGTACACTGGTAAACAAGAACTGGTAGCCACTTCAACCACAGAAGCGGAATATGTTTGTTTATCCAAAGCTGCAAATAACCTTGTATGGTTTAATGATTTAATTTCAGATGTTTGGAAAAAACCTGCTTTGCCTTTTGTTATGCATGAAGACAATAAAGCAGCCATTGAAATATCTAGATCCGATGCCATTGGACAAAGATCCAGGCATATAGATATAAAATTTAAGCATGTGAGACAATTGTCTCAAGATGGATTTATCAAAGCAGTACATTGTGATACCTCTGAACAATTAGCTGACATATTGACGAAGCCTTTACCTTCTAAACAGCACAAATACTTAACTTCCAAATTGTATGTCTTATATTGTCCTGAATCTGAATGTAATTGGTGTTGTATAGCGAACCGGCATTTAGAGGGGGATTTGTCAGATGTAAATGCCTTATTCCCTAATGTGTAAATAATGTATATATGGGATATCAGGGGTTAACTTATTCTTTGATTCTTAATGTATTCATAATTCACCACTCCCACTCTTGGCTCCACCCTTTGTATATATAAGGAGCCACCTTCACCATTTTCTTTGCTTCTATCTGTGAATATTCAGTGAATATAGAATGCCTATTATAATTAAAGAGAAATAGATTTAAACCTCTAACTCTTATTATTATTATTGAGTCTGATCCTGAAAATATTGCAACAAGCAAGTTTCTCCTTAATTCTCCCGCTCTCTTGCTTAGGACTCGGCGGGTGCGAATGCTTCCATCTGGGCTTAAGTGCCCCAAACCGAAGGACGGGCGGGCGTCTCGGGTGAACTCGGGCAGTCCGAGCGGAGGCTTCGCAGGGAGATTCAGGCAGGAATTGAGACCTTGTGGAAAAGTCCGGGAGATGGGGGCGGGGGTGAGAAGAGAAGCGGTGGATCTGGCTGCTTTGTTTAACCCAGGAATGGGGGGGTGTTAGGATATGGTTTGAGCCTAACAAGTTGTCCAGGTAATATATGTGTTCTGTAACTTTAATATGAATATGTATTGTGTGACTTTAAAGTTTTACTGCTGATTCATTGTAATGCTGAGTCATGCTGTAATTAGATAATCACTAGTTGTAAACATATTTAAGAAAGATACTGTAACATAGTCAGTTGATGATAAGCTACCATAGTGTGTGGAGTTGCTACCATTGTGCTATCATTGTTGGATGGATCTGCTACCATCGTGGTTTGTGAACCAGAGTGAACTTGTTATTCTAACCAACTACTGTTTGTATGGTAAGAAGAGTTTTTGTATCACTGAACTGATTTAACTGGCAAAGACTTGGATTGATTTAAAGACTATGAGATTGTTTTTTTCACTATAAAGTAAACTTTTGATAAACCAGTTTGCACATCTCTTATTCATTGCTCTTAGCAACATTTCTCTGTGCTCTACACTCTGCTGGTTGGTAACACAACAACAATATCCTTAACGGGTGGGGGACTTTGGCCTCTTTATGACTTGTGGGCTTCAACTCTCAGAATTCCTGGGTTTAGGAATTCTGGAAGTCCACAAGTCATAAAAGGGCCAAGGTTCCCCACTCCCCTGATTTAACTGATTAATTCTGCTTGGGAAGCACTTGTTCTTGGTGAAACCATCTGCAAAAGAGCTGAAGAAGCTTTTTGGATGAGAAGCGACACGTCTTCAAAGAAAAAGAAAAACCAGAAAGTCCAGTTGCCTCTTGAAAAAGCACCTTTGGGACATCTGCAAAGGATTTTTGGAATTGAACTGAATGCGTTGATAAATAAAGCGCTTTTGGAAAACTTAAGAATGCTTTTGTGAACAATATTTTGCTTCTAAGCTTTTAATTATGTGTAAAGGATAAGTTTGTATTTGATTTAGCCACTAAATTCTCTCACAAATGAGAGAATGAGTTCAAAAGCTTGAAAGATTAAACCTCTGGCCTGGTGACCAACCCAGATTAGTTCTTGCACTAAATTCACTGTTGCAGCTCAAAGATCCCTTTGATGAAAATTAATACAGAAATATTTCAAATAATGAATAATATTGCTTGCCAAATGAAGCCCTGGTTGACTGGCAACAGATCTTCCTAAGTTCTGAATCAGTCCCTGCCTGGCTCTACCTGACAAGGGCAGGAATTGATGCCACTCTCTGCGGCTGTCACCTCAGCTGTTAAAACATCTGTTTACATCTGCCTATCAAATTCTGGAAAGAACAGAGTGCATAGGTGAGCCTAGGCAATCCTGTTCTTTGTCTGATCTGGAAGTTATGAATATGTTCTGCTGCCCAGCGATGTAAAGCAGTTGGTGCGCTATGGGTAGCTTTAAGAGTCCTTTCTTTGATCTGCTCTGCTTTTCCAGGTACTTCCTGTGCGAGATCATCTCCGAAGACCCTCGCTGTCGGCAGTTCATTGAGGAGCGCATAGTGCACAATGCGGTAAAGAATGCAGTTGCAAGAATACATGGAGACTTTGGAGTCGCCTGTTGCTCTATTGCTTTTTCAGGTCTGTTTTCCAGGTTTTGCTAGTGTGCAGTGCAGGTAGTCCTTGATTAATGGCTGTGATGGAGCCTGTACATTAGTCATAAGTCATGATAGTTGTAAAATAGGTCACCATGTCACCGACCTAATTTTATGATGTTTGCAATGGTTAAGCAAATCATCATGGTTGCTAAGTAAATCCATGGTCATTGAGAGAATTCATTGTTTGCTATGGGTCATTTTTGCTGAAGTTTTCGGCAATGCTGGCTGGGGAGTTCTAGTTTATTTATTTATTTATTTATTAAATTTAGTTGAACTCCACAAGTTGTCAAGTTTGAAGCCACATTTTTTTTTTCCCTGAAAGAAGGGAAACTTCTGCGTGCTGCTCATCCCACCACTTCCCTTTACGAGATTCTCTGGTTTCTTTCTTCAGTAAAATACCTGAATGCCTACACGGGAGTAGTTCTCTTCTGCTGCCGGAAAGATTTTTATCGGCTTCTGTGGTCGTCCCTTCCTTTTATTACTCACTTGGAAAATAGGAGCCAACATTGCCCCTGCTCTTTTAACACACTTCATGTTGGAGGTAAGCTTTCTCTTGTAAGAGTCTGTACTTTAACAGGGCATTTTTTAAAAAAATCTTCCCTTGTGCAATTTCTTAAGGGAAATAATCTGATTTATTGGTACCATGTTCATTGGTAACCAATTTTGTTGTATATATGATGTACAATGACAATAAAGGCTATACGATCTTTGCCACAAGCGGAATTGTTCAAAGTGCGGGTATTTTGAAATAAAAATCCATACAATTGACAGTAATAGCAGAAATAAATAAACATTGTAACAATTTAAAAAACAAGGTTGAAATGAAAAATAAAAAAGTCAGGTTGGGCACAGCAGTAGAAATTGGGAGGAAGTGAGTTTTAGTTCTGCTTTGGGCACAAAGCCACGTGGGTGACTTTGGGAGACAGACAGGCAGACACACCCACACATACCAGGCAAAGCAAACCAATAAAACTGCAAGCAGCTTCTGGGAATCAGGCATGATTGAACAGGAAGAAAAGACTTCAAAAGGACACAAGTATCGGGGAAAAGTTAAGTTTCCCAACATTACCTCCTTAGATGTAGCCATCAGGGATGGGCATTTTTTTGTGAGGCAACTCAAAAGGATTCTATGATCTGGAATATTAAAACAATATCAAGAGATTTTTCATTGGCACCAATTCTGTAATTGGGGTCATGGTAGAAGCAGTTCAGAAAATTTATTTTCTCTTGCACCAGTATTGAGTAACAGTTATGTGTACATGTCTTAGACAACAAACTAGTCAGTCAATTTGTTTCACAACTGGTGGATTAAAACTTGGGTTGGTCTGAAAATAGAAGGATCCTGTTTTTGAGAGAAAGCACTAGTTAAAAAAAAGTTATGCATACATGTTATTTCTGGGCTAAAATATAATGCACTAAATATTATAAACTGATTTCTGGATTTCATAAATAGTAAATATGGTATTTAAGTCACCAGATGGCAGTGCTCAAAGATGGAGAGCACTAGTGTTTTACTGTCCTCCAATTGGTTGAGCGGATTTTTGCAACACAGATATTGTATCCTAATCCTGAAGGAAGCGGGCACAAATTGTAAAGGTTACATGAAGAGCTTTAATATAGTCTTTGTTTCTTGCTTATCTGTTAAAAATGGGCAACGAGAATGTCTCATTGTGGCTTATTCTGTTAAAATCCGTTTCTCTGAATATTTAGGCTGCAAGTAATTCCTTGTCTGCATAGTCCTCATGTCTTCCTTCTCTGCTTCTAGCAACAATACGGACCTGTCAGAAATTCCTCATTCAGTACAACAGGGATCAGCTACTGCTGCTGTTACGGAACTGTACCAGTGAAGGTAATTAATCATAACCTGGCATGTTGGCATACCTCTGAGTGAAGCGTAGCCTCTAACTTAGAACAGAATGGCAGAGTTGGAAGAGATCTTGGAGGTCTTCTAGTCCGACCAACTACTTGAGCAGGAGAGGCTACCATTTGGGCAAATGGCTGTCCAATCTCTTCTCGAAAACCTCCAGTGATGGGGCGCCCACAACTTAACCTTCCTTTTAAAAAATCTCTCTGAATCCCAAATAAAATAAAAATGAGGAACGAGGCAGCAGCAGGCCATAGCTTGATAAATCAGTTCTTTATAGCTGCATTGTCTGTGGTGGTTGCTTTTTCAAAAATAATAATACTGCAGCCTCCAACCCAGGAATTATGCAGATTCCAGTAATAGGAAGATAAATCCTTGTAGATCTAGTGTTTCTCAACCTTGGCAACCTGAGGATATGCAGACTTCAATTCCCAGAATTCCCCTGCCAGTTTGGCTGGCGGAGGAATTCTGGGAGTTGAAGTCCGCATATCCTCAGGTTGCCAAACATTCCTACTCTGGAATCAGAATGCCTTGTAAAAAGAGATTGAATCTAACATTACTAAGCACTGGTTATTAATTATCTAATTACTAAGCACTGGAGCTCCATTGGCTTTATTCCTCTCCCCCCCCTTTTTTTTGTGTGCGTGTGGCTACTTTGTCCAAGCACAGGACAGTTTAATTTTTTTCTTTAAAATCCCCTGTATTTTACATAAAAATTGAGAATCACCATCATGTAATGGCAGTACTGAGAACCTATATGGAATGCCAGCTTCCTGGAAATCTGAACTTGTTTCTTTCAATTTCTAATTCCTAACAATCAAAAAGTTAAATCTGGATTGTGTATGAAATAGCCAAAGGCAGGCTATTTCAGGCAAAAAGTGGGTGGCAGCGTTTGGTTTGCTGCTCCAGATGCTTGACCAACAGGATTAGACAGACAAGGAAGGCATCCATTGGACGGGGAATTCTAGGTGCTGCAGTCCAAGGTGGGGGAAGGAATGCTATAGGAGTATTCAGCTTTTAAGACTTCAACTTCTAGTTTCTCAGCCAGCAGAATTCTTGAGTGGCTGGGGAATTCCGGGAATTGAAGTCCACGACATGAAGTGGCTCAGGATTGAGAAGTATTACTAGAGACACTCCATTGCCATGATGTCAACTAAAGGAGGGCCACTGGAAGACGGTGAGACCTCTATTGACATGTCAATGAGAATGTCTTGCAAATTCCTTTCCCCTGTTTTACCAGCCGATAGAGAAGCCATCCGGAAGTCGGTCCAGAGCTGTGTGCTTGTGGGAGTGGAGCGGTTCCGGAGTGAAGAGAGTGAGGAGAACCTGGAGATGGACTGAATTACATCACCTCTGAAGTGCTTAGGCAAGGAGTGCCTCTCAAGGGCAAGGATCAGTACCTTTTCTCCATTATATATACATATATTTACAGAGTTTTACACATCTTTTATAAAACTAGCTGAAGCTATGTGTGTATTGTACCAATCTCTCCCCCCACCCCCGGTCTCTGCTCCTGTTTGTTCAAGGAGGGGGGGGGAGGGAAGCTTTTGACCCACAGAAAAACCACAAGGGCTGGACACTGGGTGGAATTGATGGTGTGGCGTAATGGTGCAGCACATAGAAGAGTTACTTCCAGAGGAGCGAACCGGAGGCTGTTTTCCAAGCATGGATTCAGTGCATTTGCTGGAAAACGTAAGACCATGAATGCACACAGACAGGCCAACAGTGGGGTCACTGGTGGATTTGCAGTGTGCTGCAAAGATAGCAGTCCGGGCAGCAAATGGCCATGGTTGGCAGCACCCAATAGCCCACGGAGCAAGCAAAATGGCGCCCCTCCTTCTCTGATAGGAGCAGCAAAACGCTACCCAAGTGAAATCCCGGTCAACAAGCAATAGCAAGGCCAGAAGATGTTTGTTTGGGATGGAACTAGCAACCGTTAACAAGGTCTGAATTTGGAAGATGCACATTCTGTACATTTTCCCTTTTTTTGTATCGTTCTGATAATTTTATACCGCAGGTGGGTTATTTTGAGGGCATAGTATGACTATAATTCTTTGTATAACACAGTTCTAAGGGGCTAAACAAAGAAATAAAAAACCAAAAAAATTCATGAGTATTATTTTCAGGGGGATTTTTTGATAAGAGTAAGCCATCCAGACTCTGAGGATTAGATGGCATTCAAACGTGTACCATCCATCCATCCATCCAGGGGATAAACAATTCCTTTCTTCAATTTATTTACTCTGTATTTTGAGTAATACATGACTCATACCTGAACCAGTGTTTCAATTCTACCTTTAATTGTACTGTTCTGGGTTTCAAAGGAAACTTTCCAGAATAACTTAACCATCCTGAGTGCAGTAGAAAAATACTCTGCTGTTGTAAAAGGGCATAACTGCAGGAAACTTAAAATAGATGACATATGCCCCTGCAAATAAGCTCTACTTTCCCAGAGAAGTAAAATTCAGACTCTTAAGAGACAGATGCAATAGATATCAAGGCCTGTTCTCATGTTCCTGAGCGCCGGACATGAAACAATATGTTGGGATCACAGGTAGATGACCACCAGAAAAACATACTTACCATTAAGGACAGTGTAACCTGTTCCCCAGAGAGGAGGTGGATTTTCCATCGTTGGGTGTGTTCAAGGGAGGCTGAACAGCCCCGTCTGGGTTGCTATAATTTGGATCCCTGTCCTGAGCAAGGGAGCAACCTCAATAGCCCTCCAATTCCAGGGTTCTATGATATGGAAGTGAGACATACTGCTACCACATCATTTTGTGTGCAGTTGTAATACATGAGGGGGGCATTTGCTCAGATTTGTCTGGTGCGCCAGTTGCGCCCCTACCTGGACCGTGATGACCTGCGCAGTCACTCATGCGCTCGTCACCTCCCGGATTGACTACTGCAATGCTCTCTACATGGGGCTGCCCTTGAAGACCACCCGGAGGCTTCAGCTGGTGCAGAATGCGGCCGCGCAGGTAGTGATGGGAGCGTCCCGACACTCTCATGTTACACCCCTCCTGCGGGACCTGTGTTGGGTACTGATTGCCCTCTGGGTGAGATTCAAGGTGCTGGTTATTGCCTATAAAGCCCTACATGGCTTAGGCCCAGGGTACCTGGCAGACCATCTGCGGCCAGCAACAGCTCCCCATTGCCCGGTGCACTCTCACAGGGAGGGCCTCCTAGGGGTCCCGTTGGCCAGACAGTGTCGGCTGGCGACTCCCAGGGAGCGGGCCTTCTCTGTGGGCGCACCTACTTTGTGGAATCAGCTCCCCCTGGAGCTCCGGATGGCCCCTGACCTTCGTTCTTTCCGCCATGACCTCAAAACATGGCTATGTCAGCGCTTCAACACTGGCATAGAGAGCAGAGGAGAGAGAGATAAGCTCTGAACTTTTGCCTGCTAAATCCCTTTGAAGTCAGGTTGTCGTGGAAATGAGGAGGGGGGACATTCCTGGGAAATGACGAGACAAGAAGTCTGAAGAATGACTTGGAAGATAGCCAATGAGAAGCAAAGATTTGGGGATCGGAAAGGGAGGGATTGGGGGGCAAAAGGTCAGTCTTGTCCGCATCGAGTCATGATCCGGTGGCTGTGCTCAATTAAAGAAAAGATTTCCTTAAAGATTGGCAGTTTGGAAATTCATTTATTTTGAGATAGCACCGAAGTCTGACAGGCTATTTGGCCTGGCCGGATTGGACTGAAGGGGTTTTTTAAAGGGGATTTTATTGGTTTTTATATTTGAATACTGAATTTTATGCGTTTATCGTTGTGAGCCACCCTGAGTCCTTTGGGAGAGAGGGCGGCATACAAGTTTAATAAAATAAAATAAATAAAATAAAATAAACGAATCTTGGATTTAGCATGCAGAAGGCCATTAGACATCCTGCTACTTAAAGGAGTCCATATACTATTCTATATCTAAAGGCAAAGCAGCATCTACAGGTCCCCCTATTTATAACCATTCATTTGATAATGGTTTATACTTATGACATCCTAGAAAAAGTGACTTATGATCCATCCTTAAAGTTACAACCATATGACCCCATAATCATAGTCATAATCTGGGTGCTTGACAGCCAACTCACGATGGTTGCAGAGTCTTGCAGCCACGTGATCATGACCTGAGACCTTCCCAGTCGGCTTCTGACGAGCAGTTAATTGGGGAAGCCAAATTTACTTAAATGCATGATTCACTTAATGACGTGACTCGCTCAACAATTGCGGTCATTATTTATTAAACTTCTATGCTGCTCATCTCATCCAGAGGTGACTCTAGACAGCTTACAATCAATAAAAACAAGATAAAACATTAAAACAATATTAACACTAAAATTGATTTAAAAACTGACAAAGGAAGGAAGGGAGCAAGATACACATTGAGAGGAGTGGGGTTTAAGCTTAATAACCAGGGTAGAATTGGCTATAAAATTGGATCCAGTCACCCGATGACTCACTTAACAACCATAGTGCTTAGTGACTGAAATTCTGGTCCCAATTGTGGTCAAGTCGAGGAGTTTCTATAAGACCACCGCATACTGAGGGAATATTCTCCTCAGGGAGGAGCTTATAGTCTTTCAGGGATGTTTTAAGAAAAGCAATTTCATGCATCTACTAAAATGAAGTGATTGTACAGATCATTGGTTTGTTAATTTTAAGTTCCTGCATGATATGTTACTGGTTTGGTTTGCAATGGAGCTTCCTGTTCTGGGAGATCAGCTACATGTTTTTGACATGGGTAAATGGCCTGTTCATAATGAAGCAAACTGATTCCAAATCAGAGTGACTCAATCAAAAATAGAATTGGGGGGGAGAAAAAAACCTGCGGAAATACCAATTGTTGTGCATATGGTTTATTGCAACTATTTACTTTTGCTGGTATATTACACCAAACTTCATTGTAGTCAATGGAAATGACACTTTAGTACTAATTAATTTCGGATCAAGCCAAAAAGCAGTGCAGAATGAGTGTTTTTTTCTCTAACAGAAGAAACGAAAGTGGGAAAAGAACACACATCCTCCTATCCAACTGGAATCGGCCCCCAACGAATGCCAGGCTCCTCTGGGCTGCCCCTTCTGTGCAAAGGGAAACGCTGCTCCCCATTCCTCCCTTCCCTCAGGAATTAGCCCCTTCACCCCAAAAGCAGCCACTGCACACGGACTGACCATGGTAGGTTTATTCCAACAGAAACTCTGCAAACACTGGTCATCGCAGAAAGCATCAGGAGGGAGGAACTGAGTTACATGCACCACGAGTGGGCACAATTAAGTGGGCACAGCCATCGGGAAGTGTGTCTATCGGCTGGTGTCTTCCCTATGTCCAAAGTGTGAGCAACAGCCCCCTGGTTGCGTTTAGCTCATTGCAGCCCCAGGCTAATCACATTCAACCTGTCCCCCGAATGGCAAAAGCAGCTGTGCACCCACCACCCAGATGTTGTACTTCTACAGCCCAATGGCAAGCCAGCCTGGCAAAACACACATCCTTTTGGCCAAGGGTCTGTGTTGCAATACTTCGGTTTGATATCAGCAAGCAAACAAACAACATATGCCCATTTTTAATCATCCCTAGCCCTCCCCGCTTCCCGGAAACAGATCGTGTTCGAATTAAAATAATTTATCTATAGCAGCAAAAACACAAAAGCAAACCCAATAAATTGAAAGGAGGAGGAGCCACCTGCCCATTGATAAAATCACTTTGTGTGAACCACTGATGTGCTGAAGAGCAGCTTCTGCTTCTGCTTCTTTTTCTTGCCTCGTTTCTCCTCTGCAAAAGAAAAACAGCCATCGGGGCCTTTCAAAGCCTGCTAAACTATTGGCCAAGAGATGGTAGCCCTGACTGAGGAGGGATCTCCCCTCAAGCCTGGCTGCCGTTCTGACCGGTTCCCCTCCTGCCCCCAGCCAACATTCCCAGGCAAACAAGCGGCAACTCCTGTGATGTCTGCCTACTGCAGTTACATCAAGGTCTCAATTCTATTTTGCTAAAATGTACAGCCTGCCTGTTGCACGAACGTCTAGGACACGGGTGTCCAACTCAAGGCCCATGGGCCGGATCCGGCCCGCAGGGTTCTTAGATCTGGCCCACGGGGCCGGCCTGGAAATAGCATCCCCAGGGTCATGTGATCAAAATTCAGACATTTGGCAACTGATTCATATTTATGATGGTTGCAGTGTCTTGGGGTCACGTGACCTCCTTTTGCGACCTTCTGACAAGCAAAGTCAATGGGGAAGCCAGATTCACTTAACAACCTTGTTACTAACTTAAAAACTGCAGTGATTCACTTAACTGTGGCAAGGAAAGTCGTAAAATGGAGCCAAACTCAATAAATGTCTCACTCAGCAACAGACATTCTGGACTCAATTGTGGTTGTAAGTCGAGGGCTACATGTATTCAGCTGGAGAAACTTAAGACAGGAATGACCATGGTGGGACAGGTGTCCTGGGATGATTAAAGGAACAAGTACGCCAGCTGCCCCTGCCTTTCTGCACAGAATGAAGGGCGAACGCCCTTTTCTCTGACTTACCTAAGAGGTGGTCAGAAGTGGACGGTTTGTCCAGCTTGAGGAAGGCTGCCTCGATAGCTTTGCTGAATGAGTTCTGGAAACTGGGCACGGGCACACGGTCCGAGTTGTCGCTCTCTGCATCGCTGTCTCCGGGAGCCGGAGGTGCCACAGTGGGGGTCTCTTCTGAAAAATGCTGCTTTGAGATTCCTGGAAAGGCTACAGATCTCACGAGGGAATCATAACCATAGAACTCTTCTCTAGTGGATCTCCATTGGCCAGGAAAAGATTAAGATCTTTCGCCTCCCAGGTTGCTCAGATGTTAATGAAATTTACAACTCTTTTGAATATTTCAGTACTGTTTTATGGCTTGCCTTGATTCATTTTACTTTTAATCTTATTGACAGAGGCTCATTTTACCACTACTGTTGGCTATTTCAAATGTGATGCACAAGGAAGGTAGGATTATCAATGGAGACCATCACTGCACTATTATTTAGAAAGGACTACTTTAGAAAATTGCTGAATATAAACAGCAGCTCCCTCACCTAGTTAGGTGATGAAATGTCTGCCAGACATCAATCTGAGAGAGAGCACCAAGGCCTCACAGGAAGGCCCAGCCCAACAGAATAATCCTGCTTACCTTTCTTCTTTGGCTGAGAACTATTCCATACTTCTGGTTTGGCTTTTCCAGCCCTCAGCATCTGAAAACATGCAAAATGGACTCAGAAACCTCACATGCTGATTTTTACTGATTTGGGAATCAAGCGGGATCATCTGTTTACCAAGCGATTACCAATAAAGCTGCTTGAGATAAATAAGAAAGGGAAACACAATTTCTACAATTCAAGAGTTACTCAGCCATGTAGGCCGAGTTCAGCCTCAACTTCTGCTCTCCATAAAATGAGAAGATAAGGTCTTGCAGGCAGCCACACGCACCTGGGCAAATGAGGGGAAGGCAGAGTCCTCCTCCAGACTGCCAATAAGGAACGGGGGACTGCCAAGGCTGGAAGATGACAGGGGAGTCAACAAGGACTCTGGAAGACACAAAACAGACAAATGAAGACTTGTTACTAAAGAGGCAGGGAATATAAATTACACACTTTTGATACTGTGCCCCCCAATTCCAACTTTTATTACATCATTAACCCTCTTGGTTTTTCAGATGTGGGCCTCCTGTAATTCTGGGGTCTCCAACCTTGGCAACTTTAAGCCTGGTGGACTTCAACTCCACCAGGCTTAAAGTTGCCAAGATTGGAGGCTCTTGCTGTAATTGATTTTCGGTCGTCTTAAGAGCTCCAGCTTGCAAATTTCTGCTGCTTTGCCTTTGAAAGCATCTGGCAGGCCTGCAGCTGCATTAGGGTTCCTTTGGACTGATTTAGTTATTATGCAAATGTCAAGTGTCGCCACCCACTGGTGGAGGAAACAGAATTACATAAGCCTTTTCAGAGCCATGGCAAAGTTTAAGACTTCAGTTCCCAGCGTTGTTGGCTGGGGAATTCTGGAAGTTGAAGTCTGCCCATCCTTAAAGTTGCCAAGGTCAAGAAACGCTGCTTTAGAAGATGCTGTCGATGGCTGAAATTGCTTCGGCTGCTTACCTGACTGAGAAGTGGGACTTCCTCCAACACAAGGTGGTAGCAGGTGGCTCTGGTTCTCAGGGCCAGCAGGTTCTCCTGAGCAAGCGCTGAAGGCCGGAAACTGCTGTAGGTTCTCTAACGCAATCCGGACCTCTGGATCTAGACGTAAAAAAAGAAGTTCCATAACAAACTCTAAACAGTTTTCTATTCAGGTACACTGGTCAACTGAAGCCAGGCCCCTTCCTTTTCTTCCCAGGAGCAAGGACTTCAACAGCACTGCGGCTTCACTGCTTGAAACAGGTGTTTCAACCTTTGCCAAAGCATGGCGTCAATGATCCCTTAACACGGGCTTTGCTTCCCATCTCTGCCAAACTAGGCCTAGACTTCTGCCTTTTCCCCTTTCATCCAACTGTGCCTGATTCTCGGAGGCTGCCTGGACAAGTCCCTGCAGTTTCCTTGGCAAGGTTTTTCAGAAGTGGCTTGCCATTGCCTCTTTCCTAGGGTGGAGAGAACGTGCTAGACACTTGGCTTTGTGCCCAAGGCAGGATTAGAACATGACGTAGCCGGATGCCTTCACCACTACGCCAAACTGACTCGCTATATGCCCGCATACTGGGTGATGACACACAGATGAGCTGTGCCCAGGAGTGCCACTCACATTTGCCCTGCTTCTTGTTTTCCTCCATCTCAATTCTGCGTTCCCGACGCCGTTCATCGCGTGCTTTCTTCTGTCTGAGCCGCTTTCGTTTCTCAATGTCATCTAAGTTGAAAGGGAGTCTTGGTGAGATGGGCTACTGCAGGCATCCAAATCTCTGCTGTGCCCGCCTTTTGGGGAACTGGGTGGCAGTTCCTCTCCCCCATCCCTCAGAAGCCCAACCCAGTACTTGGACTTCAGCTTTCACTGACTACCGAAATCATTCACGACTATGGATCAGTGGTGGGTTTCAAAAATTTTTACTACCAGTTCTGTGGGTGTGGCTTGGTGGGTGTGGCATGGCTTGGTGGGCGTGGCAGAGGAAGGATATTGTCAAATCTCCATTCCCTCCCCAATCCAGGGGAAGGATACTGCAAAATCCCCATTTCCTCCCGATCAGCTGGGACTTGGGAAGCAGAGAATAGATGGGGGCGGGGCCAGTCAGAAATTTTACTACCGGTTCTCTGAACTACTCAAAATTTCCGCTACCGGTTCTCCAGAACTGGTCAGAACCTGCTGAAACCCACCTCTGCCATGGATCCAATCTCTCGTTTCCAAATTCAACATTTCCATTAACTGCCTTTCTTTTTTCAACCCAAATTTCAACAACTAGATTTTTCTAAGCAGAGCAATTGTTTTTCCTCGTTAGTTTAATTTAAAAATGAGAGGATACTTTGTCTAAGCTGTTTTTTAGGTAGTCTTTCTTGTGGGTAATGTAAGTTGGAACTTGAAAGTAAAGCTGTTGACTAAAGTTGCTGACCCCGTCCCTGAGGATTTCATGGCCACGTCCATCCAGCTTCCTTAGGGAACAAGAGCAGAGCAGCTGGGCCTTTTCTCTCCTGCCCCAGAACAGCCTTCAGCTACAGCTTTCTTAGTGGTCTTCCTACTAAAGACTAAGTGTGGCTCAATGGTGAACTCCCGCAAGATTTCTCAGGCAACTTTTTCTTGAAATCCTTTTTTATAACCGAAAGCAGAACTCCCAGAGATCCATTTTCCTGATCTCACCTGAAAACATCTGCAGTGTTTCCTTCGAAATGACAGGAGGCTTCAAAGCTAATTCGCAGATGCTGAACTCACAGGTGAGGGGCAAATGGCAGAGGTAACGATGACGCTGACGCACATCCTGCAGGCGGGAGTTGTGGTTCAGGGAAGAGAAATGGACCCCAAACTCTTCTCCCCCCAACTCCCCCCTTCCTATTTTGTTACCAGACAAAATAGGCAATCCTAAGAGACTCCCAGAAAGAGTTTGAGCAAGGACTGAACTGAAACATCTCCTAGCAAAGGAGCTTTAATGCTCATCCAAGAGGCCATGCATGGCCATCCCCCCCCTTACCTCTGTCATGGAGTGGCCAGATATTTCCACCACGGTAGCCGTGATTCTCTCTGGACTCTTCTCCAGGCTCCCATATTCATGTACGAGGCAACGGACGTTCACTGGGTGCAGGTACAGACACTGCCCGTCTTCAGCTGCAGCATGAGAAGAGAAGTTGTAGGGCAGTTACTGTATGTACAGTTAGGATCTTAAAACAGCCCCTCAGGGCGAGACAGCATTTAAGCAGATCGATAGTAGGTAATTCTTGACTTATGACCATAATTGGGACCAGAATTTCCTTTGCTGACCTTGGTAGAAGTAATAGGAAGGAGAACTCTGGGTGTGTCTGCTGGCAAACGCAGCCTTGGGTTTTCCTGAGGCAGATGCACTCAAACTGGCTTCCCCTCCTTCACTTGTGCTTGCTGGATCCATGTTCCTCTCCACGCCGTTATCCGCTGCCGCCTCTGCCCTTTCCAAAGGTGGGGGATCTCCACTCGCAGGATCCACAGGAGGAGATCCCAGCAATTCATCATTGAAAGCAGAAAGATATTCTGGAATGCACTGTAGCAATAAAAAGCAATTAGCACCCACTGGTCTTTTTCCACTTAATTTCTTCTTTCTTTCCCTCTGTAGGCTCGAGAGAGGCCAGCACAAAGAGAAGGAAGGGAAACAATGGCCCGGAAGAGAAAACTGGAGAATCACACTCCAGAACAACGGCCAAATTTGTCTTTATTTTAAAACCAGGTAGAAACTGCTTGCAAAATGGGCAGCCTCGGGAGACAAAGTGTTCTCGGGGAATCTCTGGGTGGACAAAGGGCCTAGGTGCCTCACTTCCTGGCACTCTCGCACTGCTCTCACCACCACTGCACTCAGGCCACCCACAAAGCAGCCGAGAAGAAGATACTGGAGATGCTTCCTCAGGCATCCCCTTCCTGCTCATGGGCTGCTCAGTGCTAATCAAAATAGCAGGAGACCTTTAGGCAGAAAGGATCATCCACCCATGTTTTAAAAACCCATTTCCTTGTGAGCAAGGAACTCTCCAATGTCTGGCCACAAAATGGAAGAAACAGATATTTACAGGAAAGGATCTAATTTGGTGATCACGAACTTGGCCCCCGTCTCAACGCGCAACTGCAGCTGCCAGAATTTCCCTCCATTGGCCAGACTCATTGTGTCTCGGTTGCTCTTTTCTTGACCTGCTCTAGATGTGAATTTCTTCACTATGAATACTTCCATGCTGATTCTCAGTAATCTTTCAAAATGCAACATCCAGAAGTGGGTGGAACCAACTCTAAGAGTTGTTACCCTCATGTGCAAGGCCACAGAAAGCGGCTCTGGTCCCAATTCATTCTAGGAAGCCCACTTCCTGTTCCCCAGCCTCCTTCTGAAGGCGGATGAAATGCGATTTAAGACAACACAAGTACTCACCTTTTCCTCCTGTGGTACTGCCAGAGTTTCTTTCTCAGAAGCTTCTGCCATGACTAATTTTTCCACAGCTGCAGTGACACCAGGAACATCACCGTCAGACATCAAGTGGCCTTCACGATCCTAGAAGGAAATCCAGTTATGTGACTTTAGAACCATATAATGTAAACCTAATCTATCTAATTTTTCTATTACTGAGTTAGGAATGTGGTCAATGCAATGTGCAAATTATCAGAAGAGTAAAAATCTTCTGATAATCTTCTGATTCTCCATCATCCAGGTCATGGCTGTCCCAAAGATGCTTTTTCAAGAGGCAACTAGACTTTCTGGTTTTTCTTTGAAGATGTTTCGCTTCTCATCCAAGAAGCTTCTTCAGCTCTGACTGGATGATGAGGAATGGAAGGATTTATACTCCTTGCAGACAGCTGGCCATTTGCATCCTTTTAGAGGGTCCTTGAGGCCACTTGGAGGTTTGTCTGTGTCCTCAGGGTCACCTGAGTGGTGCAAATGGGGGTGGAGCCTTCTGGGCTACAGGATGTTTTCTGCCCTTTGTCTCTTCACTGTTGAAGACAGACACAGGCTGCCAGGGAAGAATCTGTGTTGTTTGAATCTCAAACTGAAGCACAAATGGTTCCAATTTTTTCTGGAAATCCATTCATACGCCCACCCCATTTGAAGGGTGCTCATCACAAAGTGCATGGTTAAAAGTCTATGGAGATTCTCAGTCATCCAGGTATAAATCCTTCCATTCCCCACCATCCAGTCAGAGCTGAAGAAGCTTCTTGGATGAGAAGCGAAATGTCTTCAAAGAAAAAACAAGAAAGTCCAGTTGCCTCCTGAAAAAGCACCTTTGGGACTATCAGTAAGTATTAATAACTTATTCTTGCCAACACCCTAAAATCTTTATATTTTACACAATACTTCCTATTCTATGGACCCCATCCTGTCATGTAGTTTGAATAAACAAACATGAACCATTCCAAGGATTTCTAACTTGCATTTTCTGCAGCTACTTGCTTAGTGACATTTTCTGTCCTCCTCCTGTCTTCCGTTCTCTGAAACTTCTCTGAGATGATAAATTGAAATTGGAGACACCATCAATACCTATCTTCTGTTCCCTAAAGCACAACTGATCCAACCTTAGAAATTTCAGCTCACTGGTATTTCCTGAATGTGACTCTATCAAACTCGATTTTCATCTTTCAGTAGTTTCTCAAGAGTTATTCTATGAACTGCATAACCTCTTTTTGGTTCATTCTTAGGTTCAGCTTTCCCGATATCAAAACTAGTTTGCTCTTCCCTAGTGATCTTCCAGCTTTTTGAGTTTCAGTAACTTTTGCGCACCTACAACAGAGTGACATATTATATGCTAAATAAATAAATAAATAACCTACAACAGTTGCTTTTTTCTTTCTTTCCAGAAATGACTCATAACTGTCCTTTCCATATATTCTTTTTCATGAACTTCCTTTTGTTTTCAGTAATTTTACTCATTAGCTTCTTTTATGAAGGAATCCAACTTAGCTTTGCTTTATATGTTAACTCAAATCTGGATTCCTATTCCCTTCTCTATCAAATAAATCCAGGATTACACGGCACTTTCTCTTAACGTTGCTGCTCCTTCCACTTTCTGGATTAATTTTTCTATTTCACTTAGCTGGTCCTCTACCCACTGAAAGTGAAAGTTGCCAGAGAGGAAGTCCTCCATGGGCCTCTTTGAAAGATCCGCAAAGGGCTTCAGGAATGCTTCATCCACAGCAGCTTAGGTGGGTGGGTAATCAATAAGATATCCTCGACCTACAATCACAATTGAGCCCAAAATTTATGTTGCTAAGTGAGACAGTTAAGTGAGTTTTGCCCCATTTTACGACTTTTCTTGCCTCAGTTGTTAAGTGAATCACTGCACTTGATAAGTTAGTAACCTGGTTGTTGAGTGAATCTGGCTTCCCCATTGACTTTGTTTGTCAGAAGGTTGTAAAAGTGTATCCCGTGACCTTGGGACACAGCAACGGTCATAAATATGAGTCAGATGCCAAGCATCCGAAATTTTGATCGCATGACCATGAGGATGCTGGAAAGGTCGTAACTGAAAAATGGTCGAAAGTCACTTTTTTTCCACATCTTGTAATTTTGAACAGTCACTAAATGAACCACTTGTAGACACTATCAGTGATGGTGCTTTTATTCATCTTTATTTGTTCCTTCTTTCTAATAATTAAAAACCATATAGGGTCATTTCTAATTTTTATTTTTAGAATCATCATATTGTGGGGCAGATTGGAGTAACCCAGAAAATATCATGATCAAGCAAAGAACCAAATCTCAGGTCATTCCAATCCTTGTAAAATAAAACACAGTGTGCAAACTGGAAATATACAGGCTACTCAAAACAAACAAACAAACAAACCCAGACCACATTAAAACAGGGGTCTGTACAAGGAAGTGTTCCAAGCCAACAGCTGCCATTCTACAAGCCAGTACATCACACTGATTTCCACCCCTCTCCACACATGATCTCCAAAGTTTAAAGGATTCTCCACCTTCAGTTCCTGCAGGGCTGCTTCAATAAAACATGCTTCAGGTGTATGTTTTTCCTCCTGGTACTGATGCAGAAGGGCCATCTTTTCCTCCAAGATTACTTGCTGGAGGACCTGAGCCTCAGAGGCCAGAAGCAGCTTTGAATACTGGCTGTGCGGCTTATCTGGATGAAGAAAGAGTGATACATTGCAACAAACGTTACCTCGTCTCATTTGAATCTATTGGACATCAACACCCCACAATGCACTCTCAAAGCAGCTTCATTAAGGAGTTACATTAAAACTTTGTCTTCAATGACAAAATAGTTAAGGTTTATAATGAAGAAGAAAATCTGCAAGATTAGAAATAACTTCTAGTTGCTTCAGGTTGTCTAATGAGAGTTTGTGTGATGCCTTTAGAGAGCAGGGATTGATTTTCAGTAATGTACAGACTGACCCACTGTAGAGCAACCGTTCTCAATGGAATTAGAGCTGCTCCTTTCAATAAGTTTCACAGGAGATACAATAACTCTGGAAGCAATTGGGCTTCATTCTGCACCCAGCTCGGGTTTGCAGAACTCAAAGCAATCTCAATTCACAAGACACTTGAATCTTCAACATAGAACAGAACACAGAATAGAATAATAGAATTGGAAGGGACCTCAGAGGTCTTCCATTCAACCCCCTGCTTGAGCAGGAGGTCCTATACCATTTCGGACAAATGCTTGTCCAGTCTCTTTTTGAAAGCCTCCAGTGTTGAACATTAGGAAATTTCTCCTTAGTTCTAGGTTGTTTCTCTCCTTGATTAGTTTCCATCCACTGTTTCTTGCCTTACCTTTTGGTGTTTTGGAAAATAGTTTGACCCCCACATCTTTGTAGGAGTCCCTCAAATATTGGAACACTGCTATCATGTCATCCCTAATCCTTCTTTTCATTAGACTTGAGTGTAGGAATTGACTACACTTAATTCCTGTATCCATTGTTCGTATGTTTTAGCCTCCTAATCAGAATAGAGCTGGAAGAGACCTTGGAGGTCTTCTAGTCCAACCCCCTGCTCAAGCAGGAGGCCCTATACCCATGATGGCGAACCTATGGCACACGTGCCACAGGTGGCACGCGGAGCCATAATAGTGAGCACGCCAGCTTAGCTCTGGGGCGCATGCGCATGCCGGCCAGCTGATTTTCGGGCCTTCTGGGCCCACCAGAAGTAGGAAAACAGGCTGTTTCCTGCCTCTGGAGGGCCTGGGGTGTGTGTGTGGGGGGAAGGCCCGTTTTTCTTTACCTGGCTCCAGATCCTCTCTATGCATCTGGGAAGGACGAAAACAGCCTTTCCCACTCCCTTGGAGGCCCTACGGAGGCTGAAAGGGCCCATTTCCCGACTCTCGGTGGGACAGGAAGTCCCCAGCCTCCAGAGACTCCTAGAGAGGCTCCTAGAGAGGCTCTGGAGGCTGGGGACAGCAAAAAATGTCACTTCCTGTCCCACCGAGAGTTGGGAAATGGGCCCTTTCAGCCTCCGTAGGGCCTCCAAGGGAGTGGGAAAGGCTGTTTTCGCCCTTCCCAGATGCATAGAGAGGATCTGGAACCAGGTAAGAAAGAAAAACGGGCCTACCAGGCCATCATGTGCCAGAAGCAGGGGTGGGTGGGGTTGCGTGTGCATGTGCATGGGCACATGTGCGCACGACCCTCCCCCGCCCCATCTCCTGGCACACAATGGCAAAAAGATTAGCCATCACTGCCCTATACCATTCCAGACAAGTGGCTGTCCAGTTTTTTCTTAAAACCCTCCAGTGATGGAGCCTCCACCACTTCTGGAGGCAAGTTACACTCTTACCCCCCAAGTGAATCGGCTGCTCCACGTGGGCGAGCGCTGACTTTGGCAGTGCCATCAAGGCTCCTTTCTTCCGCTGCATGAGCTGCATTGTTATTGTGTCACCAATTGCATACTGACGGGTTTCTAGAGCCACAACACTGTAAAAAAGAAAAGAAAAGAAAAGGATAAGCGATGACAACTGACTTGGTACAGGAGGAAAAGGAGGCCTCCCTCAGGGACTCTCTATACCTTTTGAGGTCCTTCTTGTGAATAGAGCCGTAGCAGATGGGGCACTTACTCCAGATCTTCTCACTCAGGGAGAGATAGTGCAGGATGCAGGCCCAGCAGAAGATGTGCCCGCAGTGAGTGATCTTGGCAGCAGTGGGTGGGTATAAGCAGATTGGGCAGGAGGGCACTTCATGGCTGTAAATCCGCTGAAAATGTACAACAGAATCCCATTGATAAAAACTGAACTCTCAAAAGGTGTTCTTCTTTAAAGAGCAGAATATATTAAAACAGGATGTGGGGAGCTGGCTATTTAAAAGCCCAGCCATGAATAAAACTGTAAATCAGGTGGCTGTCTAATTTATATTTTAAAAAAACATGCTTCTCTCAGTAGCACTGAGAGGTCATTCCAGCACCTGCCAAATTTAGCAATTTCAATGGAGAACGTAAGAAAGTATCCCTGAGAAGTGACTCTCCAGGTTTTATATGAAGTTCTAGAGAAAAGCAGTCCCACAATCAACTTTCACTTCCACTATCAAATTGCTTGTACCATGCAGAAAAATTTAAATGTGCTCCCCTGCAATTTTCTTTCTAGTTCTACATGGCATAAAGCAGGCTAAATCCGATTCCACTGTAGAATATGTTAACCACCAGCAAATGGTGGAAAACTAGAATTAAAAGCCTAGGTATTTAAAAGGCCTGACCTGCTTAATTTGGTTACCACTGATTGTCCACTTATAGAAGCTGTATATTGTGATGCTTTGTGAATACAGCCACCTGGAGTTTGGAATGGCTGATTTCCAGCTTTTTGTCTTACAGCCTGACCCTATTGTATGTAAGCTTTGTGGTGTTCCCTGAGACATGGGTGACTGCATTATCAACATGTAGAAAGAGAGCAATAGCAAAAGCACTTAGACTTATATACCACTTTACAGCCCTCTCTAAGGGGTTTACAGAGTCAGCCTATTGCCCCCAACAGTCAAGGTCCTCATTTTACCGATCTCGGAAGGATGGAAGGCTGAGTCAACCTTGAGCCTGGTGAGATTTGAACTGCCAAACTGCAGTCAGCCGGCAGTCAGCAGAAGTAGCCTGCAGTACTGCATTCTAGCCACTGCACCACTGTGGCTCATGGAAGTTCAGATGGAAGTTGGTTCGTGAGTTCAGGGCAGAAATCATGTTTAGCTGCCACCTGTATCGATAACATAAATGTTTCACTTAATGAAGGGGTCAGAATGCAATTTGACTCCTTTAAAGCTGGAAATAAAGTTGTCAGTTTGATACTGGGCAAGCCTTTGAGATATATGTGTGTATGTATACACATTCACACACATATATAGGGTGTTTTCATATGGCATCGTTATCAGCTAGAAAAAATGAGGCGGCTAATTTGCTCTCTACCTTCTTTTGGGGAACTGTAGTTTTGAATTCACAAGTTGCCTAATGAGGTGTGTGGAGGACTTCCTTTTCTATCCTGAATCTCTCCCACCAGCCCTAAGCTGACTACAGTACTTGTTTGAGAGAGAGAGAGAGGGAGAGGGAGAGGGAGAGGGAGAGGGATACTAACCACTTGTTGCACAAAATCCCAGTTGACCAAGGTATCTGGGTCAGTGAAGTGAACCGTGTAGTCCTGATCATCACGCACCACAAACTGGCAGCTGCAAAGAATATGAGGGATTTAAAATTAAAAACTCATAACAACCACCAGAAACTGATTATATAGAAATGATCCAGGAAGACAGATATTCAGATGAAGTAACTGCTAACAATTATCTACAACAATTTATTTATTTATTTATTTATTAATCAAATTTCTATACCGCCCTACTCCCGAAGGACTCAGGGCGGTGAACAGCCAAGATAAAATACTGATAATACAAATATTAAAAAATCCCTTAAAATTATTAAATATTTCGGCCGAAACACAGATTAAAACACCCAATTTGTAAAATCACGAATTAAAAAATTTAAAAATTTAAAAGATGGGAGTTAGGCCAGGCCAGCTTGCTGAAATAGAAAAGTTTTGAGAGCACGGCGAAACGTGCGCAGGTCCGGGATCTTCCGTATCTCTGGGGGGAGCTCGTTCCAGATGGTAGGTGCCCCCACAGAGAAGGCTCTCCTCCTGGGGGCCGCCAGTCGACACTGTTTGGCCGACGGCACCCTGAGGAGCCCCTCTCTATGGGAGCGTACTGGTTGGTGAGAGGCTATTGGTAGCAGAAGGCGGTCTCGTAGATAACCCGGTCCGATGCCATGGAGCGTTCTACAGGTGGTAACCAAAACCTTGAAGCGCACCCGGAAGACCACCGGGAGCCAGTGCAGCTCGCGCAGGAGGGGGGGTCACATGGGAGCGCCACGTCGCTCCCATAACCACCCACGCAGCCGCATTCTGGACCAGCTGGAGCCTCCGGGTGCTCCTCAAGGGGAGCCCCATGTAGAGAGCATTGCAGTAGTCCAAGCGGGAAGTAACGAGAGCATGAGTGATGAGTCCCGATCCAGAAAGGGACGCAACTGGCGGATCAGGCGAACCTGATAAAAAGTCCCCCTGGCCACGGCCGTCATGTGCTCTTCTAAAGACAGCCGTGAGTCCAGGAGGACACCCAAGTTGCGAACCCTCTCCGTGGGGGCCAGTGACTCGCCCCCAATAGTCAGTGATGGCACCAACTAACTATATCGGGATGTCGGAAACCACAGCCACTTGGTCTTGGATGGGTTGAGCCTGAGTCTGTTTCTCCCCATCCAGATCCGCACGGCCTCCAGGCACCGGGACATCACTTCAAGGGCATCATTGGGGTGGTCCGGGGTGGAGATGTACAGCTGAGTATCATCAGCGTACTGGTGGTACTTCACCCCGAAATCACGGATGATCTCACCCAGCGGCTTCACATAAATGTTGAACAGAAGGGGCGAGAGGACCGACCCTTGTGGCACCCCACATACAAGGGGCCTCGGGGTCGACCTCTGCCCCCCTGTCAACACAGACTGCGACCGGTCAGAGAGAAAGGAGGAGAACCACCGTAGGACGGTGCCCCCCACCCCTAACTCCTCTAGCCGGTGCAGCATGATACCATGGTCGATGGTATCAAAAGCCGCTGAGAGGTCTAATAGGACCAGGACAGAGGAACAACCCCTGTCCCGAGCCCTCCAGAGATCATCAACCAGTGCGACCAATGCCGTTTCCGTGCTGTACCCAGGCCTGAAGCCTGACTGGAACGGATCCAGATACAACGATTCATCCAGGTACTGGGGGAGCTGTCGCGCTACCACACTCTCAACAACCTTCGCAACGAAGCGAACGTTGGAGACTGGACGATAATTTGCCAACACTGCCGGGTCCAGGGAAGGTTTCTTGAGGAGAGGCCTCACCACCGCCTCTTTCAAGGCGGCAGGGAAGACACCCTCACTCAAGGAAGCATTTATAATCCCCTGGAGCCAGCCTCGTGTAACCTCCCGAGAGGCCAGCACCAACCAGGAGGGACACGGGTCCAGTAAACATGTGGCTGCGCTCAGTCTGCCCAGTATCCTGTCCACGTCTTCGGGCGTCACAGAATCAAACTCTTCCCAGATAATACTCACAAGACCTGCCTCTGTCCTCCCCGCTGAATCTACCCAGTCAGAGTCCAGATGTTCCCGAATCTGAGTGATTTTGTCATACAGATACTGTACAAAATCCTCGGCTCTACCCTCCAAGGGGTCCTCCCGCGCTTCCTGGTGGAGCAGGGAGCGGGTCACCCTAAACAGGGCGGCCGGGCGATTATCTGATGACGCAATAAGAGTGGCAAAATAGTTATACTTCGCCACTTTTATCACCACCAGGTAGGTCTTAATATGAGACCTTACCAGTGTTCGGTCAGATTCAGAATGGCTGGCCCTCCAACCACTCTCCAGGCGTCTTTTCCGGCACTTCATCTCCCTCAGCTCCTCGGTGAACCAAGGAGCCAGGCGAGATCGACGCCGGGTCAGAGACCGCAAAGGCACGACCCGATCCAAAGCTCCAGCAGCCGCCCTATCCCAGGCGGCCACCAGCTCCTCAGTCGAGCTGTGTGCCAGAGCCTCAGGAAATGGCCCAAGCTCCGTCTGGAACCTATCAGGATCCATCAGGCGCCTGGGGCGGTACCACCTCAATGGTTCCGCCTCCCTGCGGCGGGGTGCGGCGGTTCGAAGGTCAAAGCGAAGGAGGGAGTCTTAAAACATATCTTAAAACAATCTTAAAACATATCTTTTCGATGAGTCTAACTGCAATCCAAGGATATACAGCGCTCTCAGAAATCAAATATGCCAAAGAGAGAAAATTGAAAAGTATCTGCTTTTTAACCTTCCAAGGAATGCTCTCAATTAACCAGAACTGCATTCACTATTTATTTCTACAAATAAAATAATGCATATTAGACCTTGGCATTAATAATTTCATAAAGCTATGTTGTATTGGACAAAACTGGTTTTGAATTCACATCACTAATACTTTTCTTTTTCTTTGTTTTGAATGAATTCAAATGCAAGCAGCAATTTAAATGCATTTCAAATACAACAGGGCAATGAGAGTCAAATTGCCAAAACAGCTTCAAATGTAAAATATAAACCCAAAGTAAATGTTTCCATAGAGGATAAAAACTACAAAACAGCAGCTGGAAGCAACAGGCGGGAATGGCACAGGAACCTGATTAAATTCTCCCTCAGATATTTATGATCCAGACCGAGCTCACACTCACTTGGCCTGAAGGAAAAGCTCCTTGTTGAAAGGTTTGTTTTCCCATCTGTTTCTTCTTCCCCAACTGCCATGGCTGCTCCCATCAAAATGGCTAGTATGGCCACGAGGTTCAAATGTAAAATTCAGCAAATGGTTCAGATTAATCTTCTTGGGGCCAGAGAATTGGGCAGGGCTGAACTCTGCCCGCTGAGTTTCTGCTACCTGAGAAAACAGACAATTTAGTTTTTGGGTTTTTTTATTATTAGATTTATATGCCGCCCTTCTCTGGAGACTCAGGGCGGCTTACAGTGCGTTAAGCAATAGCCTTCATACTTTTGTATATTTTTTATACAAAGTCAGCTTATTGCCCCCACAAACTGGGTCCTCAATTTGCCTACCTTAGAAAGGATGGAAGGCTGAGTCAACCTTGAGCCTGGTGAGATTCGAACTTACTTTAATTGCAGACAGTTGGTGTTAAATTACAGTGAGTAGTCTGCAGAGCTATCCAGGCTCTTCCCTAGTTTGCAGGAGTTGCAATAAAAAAACTTTTACCAGGAAGATGAAGGTTTGGCCAGAACTTTGGAACAATCTCTTGGAGGAGGGAAAAGCAAACTACAGCTTTATTTTTGCCAAAAATATCACATAACTTTCCCAAGTAGGAACAGAGTTCAAACTAAAGAAAGCTTTATTCTCCTTATAAGCCAAGAGCTTATTTTTCTGTAGCCCTTTACATCAGATAGCATATGATTCACATGCAAAAGGACACTGGACTTTCCTCTGACATTATTTTCTATATTATCATCAAAAATCTTTTAAATATATTTTGCTTTCAAAGGTCATGATCTGGAAAACAGCTTATACATCCCTTAAAGCAGGGGTGAAGTTCAGCAGGTTCTGACAGGTTCTGGAGAACCGGTAGCAGAAATTTTGAGTACCCTGTTTCCCCCAAAATAAGACATCCTCTGACAATAAGCCTAATCGGGCTTTTGAGCGCATGGCAATAAGGCCAAACGCTTATTTCATGGTTCATAAAAATATAAGACAGGGTCTTATTTTCGGGGAAAATAAGTAGTAGTTCAGAGAACAGGCAAATACCACCTCTGGCTGGCCCCAGAGTGGGGAGAGAATGGGGATTTTGCAGTATCCTTCCCCTGCCATGCCCACGAAGCCACTCCCACAGAACCGGTAGTAAAAAAAATTTGAATTTCACCACTGCCTCAAAGTATAGGTTAAGAAGGATTTGCCATTTACTGTAATTTTTTAAAATATTCAAATAGAAGCAACATCAACAGTCAACCCTCCAGTTTTAATTGAGTCTTTCAACAATTAAACATTTGAGGTAACACTTCAATCAGATGCATTTTTTGGTAATGAGCCTCCATCATCCTTGAATTTGAACTCACCTAGACATAAGGTAAAGTCTTAAACATCTACAGTTTATATACCTGGGAAATGCTGAACATTTATCTTTCTTGAATTCCACAGGCTGGATAGGGACAGCTGAAAGGCCAGATGTGACCCGCAAATGCCCAGGCCTGCCATGTTTAATTGCCACATTTGATAGAACTAAGAAAAAAATGTACATGCTAATGCCAACATTCCTTTCTGTACACATTTAGAAGCAAAGAATCCATAGTAAACTCTTGCATTTTTGCAGAAGTAATTTGGCCATTATTTTTTCATGATAGGACATTATTGTTTTATTTTTCCCCCCACAAGCATGAAGGTAAGAATATTCAGTTCAATTGTGTTTAATTTAAATCTTACCGACAAAGAAATAGAGGTAGACCAATATAGTTATTTCAAGCTGTTTAGTTCTCATCAGCTAGCCATACCCTTCTGGGATTTGAACCTGGGCCACTTGCATATTAGGCAGATGTATTAACCTCTAGGACATGGGCTCCCCTCTCTTTGTCAGCTGTACTAGGGGGGAGATTAAGTGTTTTTCTGGTGAGACAGATCTATCAGGGCAACCTTGTCTACCAAATTATGGGATGGAGCATATTGCTTCCACTTTTGTCTTTCAGCCCCAATCCAGGAGCCTTCGCAGGCAGTCACTTCCACAACAAACTATTTGTTGTTTGATACAGCTGCTTCCATGACAAAAAATAATTGTCGTGGAAGCAACTGCCTGCAAAGACTCCTGGATTGGGGCTAAAAGGCAAAAAGCGGAAGCAGTTACTCCATTCCATATCTGGGTAGACCAGGTTGCCCTGTTAAAAAACACTGAATCTCCCCCCTGGTATAGCAAACAAAATGAGGAGAGCCCGTGGCTTAGAGGTTAATACATCTACCTAATATGCAAGTAGCCTGGGTTCGAATCCCAGAAGGGTATGGCTAGCTGATGAGAGCTAAATAGCTTGAAATAGATCTATACTAATCTCCCTTTATTTCTTTGTTGGTAAATATAAATTCAACACAAAAAATAGTTTGTCACAAAAGCAATTGCCTGTGAAGGCTCCTGGATTGGGGCTGAAAGACAAAAGTAGAAGCAGTATGCTCCATCCCATAATTGAGTGGACCAGGTTGCCCTGATAGTCTCACCAGAAAATTATTGTTCAATTAAATTTTTATTTTTAATCTGCATTTCACATTTTTAATGAGAGAAGAAAAATAGAAGTTTCTATTGTGTCAGAAAAGAGAGATAAGACAAAATATTTATTTAATTAAAGCATGTAACTGTCCCAGTAAGGGCAGGATCTCACCTCATCTCGTCTTCCACCATTAGAAGAAAGGCTAAAAGATTTGCTGCCGCTGTTCTGCTCCCCCCTCTGAGGGGGCATCTTGTTAAAAGCTTTGCTTTTCTGTGAAAAGGAGCGACGGGACTGGCTGGGGAAAGTCTCATTTTTGGGATATGAAGTTTCTCTCTTACGATTATAACGCTGTCTGGATCCACTTGCATTTTTCCCTTCTAAAATAAACAGGAAAGGAAAATAATGTTCAGCATTAAGTTAAAAGCAATTCCTAGCAGAGCAGGTAACTTATATCGAGCCAAAGTGACAGCCAGACTGGTAACACAAGCAAAAGCTTATCTAGAGAAACCTACCACATAGCACTTTCATGACTTGAGGGTGAAGCCAAATATCTTTATTTAATGATCTTGCAAACTGAAGATATTTTGATCTTAAAAACTATAACATTTTTCTGACCCTTGTGCTGACAAAAACAAAGATCGCACTAATAGAAATGTTACTATGTTTACTTACAACAGGAAAGGATTACTCTTATCCTCATCCTCAGAATCGCTTAGGAAGAAAGTCGGGTTAGTCTATGGTGGCCCAAAATCAGAAGGACCGATAGCCCCTTTCCAGACTAATTAAATTTTATTAACATTGGATTATTTGCTCAGTTGCCTAATTTCATGATTCTAATACTTTGAATCACCCCAAGGGAATTAGACAAGTAAACATACGTAAATGCTTTACCTATATATTTTTTTTCAAATACTTCTGACAAGGAAAATATTGATCTTTTTAAATTTGAGATTTTGTACACTCAAGCTCTTCCTTCCAGCAATATTAAGTTTTGCACACATCGAAACTTTTTTCAATAAAATAAATTATTCTGTATGCAATCCAAAGTAACAATGTTTACTATCCAATGTAGGCAATACATTTACATCATCATAAGTTGTTATAATAGAACAGTAATTCAAGAAAGAAGCTGCTACTAGGATAGGAAGCTTGGGAGTACAGGTAGTCCTCGATTTATGACAATTGAGCCCAAAAGTTCACTAAATGAACTGTTGTAAGTTGAGGACTACCTGTATTACCAACCTTAAATTCCCTAAGATATAAAATTTAAAACTTTGTAATATAAATTCCCCCAGTTGGAAACAGATTTTCTACATGTGTGAAAAAGTTATATATATACAAATGACAGATACTATCAAAAAGGAGAGCAGGCATTTGTCGTTTCCTACTTATAAACTTTAAGAACATCCAAGGAGTTTCTTTCTCCCTTTAAAACAGCCAATGATTGACTGGAAATTATCAGAACTTAAGAAGTACTGTATATACTGAATTTTTGCAACTTTACTCTTGTATAGAAAGGCCTCTTTTCTAAAATATTTGTCATATATAATTTTAATAATTGTCATATAAATCATTTGGTAACCGCTAGGCAATTCTGTAGCTGCAGGATTGCTACCCCAGGCTTGGTAGAATGTGATGGTAGTGTCAGCACACTCAGCTATTTGCACCACTGCCCCGTTCAGATTAGGACTTAATCAATGTCTGCACACACGGCTGTCGTAAGCTAAAAGCAGCATTTTCTAAACGTGAACCTTTTATCTACAGAGAGCCTCCAGTTACTACAACAAAAAATTAGTTGAAAATGGTTGGTCAAAATGAATGTCGCCTTCTGTAGTTATGGAAAGCTTGTGGACTCTACAGAACCATTCTGCATTGTTGTGACCTGGAACGTCATCTAAAAGTTGTTAGTAAAGATATTCTATAAGGCAGTCTGGGGCAGTGGATAAAGCAACAAGCAAGAAACCAGGAGGCCGGGAGTCAACAGTGACTTACAGGCACACACAAAATTGAAGTTGTTACATAAAACAGTATATCCTTTGATATCTCCTTGGCGGTAGCCTTTTCCTTTCCGAGTGATCCTTTCTGCAGATACAATTGAGCCCAATCCTGCAGGCTTTTAGAAGTTTTCCCAGGCATTTGGGTCAGGATGAATAAAATCCCATTTGGATGAATTACAGTCCATTTAGTCTTGATAGCTGCCCAATTAGTAGTTACACTGCAGAAGATAGACTGGAGATCTCTAAAGAGTTGAAACTGGGCCCTATCTAACAAAATGAAATTTAATGGAGACAAAAGTAAGGTTTTGCACTTCAGCAAGAAAAATCTGTGAAAGGGATCTTGGAGTCCAAGTGGACAATCACTTAAACATGAGCCAGCAGTGTGTGGCAGCAGCCAAAAAAGCCAACAGAGTCCTAGACTGGATTAATAGAAGGATAGAATCAGAATTACCTGAACTATTAGTACCGCTTTATAAAGCAGCCTTAGTAAGACCACACTTAGAATACAGCATCCAGTTTTGGTCACCATATTATATTAAAAAATGTAGAGACTCTGGAAAGAGTGCAGAAAAGAGCAACAGAGATAAGGGAATGAAAGCTAAAACATTTGAAGAATGGTTGCAGGAATTGGGTTTGTCTAGTCTAGTGAAAAGAAGGAATAGGGATGACATGATAGCAGTGTTCCAATATTTGAGGGGCTGCCACAAAGAAGAGGGTGTGTGTATGTGTCAAACTATTTTCCAAAGCACCAGAAGGGAGACAAGAGTCAATGGATGGAAAGTAATCAAGGAGAGAAGCAACTTAGGAGAAATTTCCTAACAATGAGAACAATTAACCAGTGGAACAGCTTGCCTTCAGATGTTGTGGGTGCTCCATCACTGGAGGCTTTCTTACACCAGGCAGTTGAGTCAGATGTTTAAATCAATGAGATGATACTGGGGTGTGAGTTTAAGTGGCATTCTTCATTAAAAACAAACAAACCCAACCATAACTGGTTGCTAGCACTTGAGCCTGCCTTCATGAATCTGCTCTGTGGAAATGAATACCACTCCAGTCAAAAGAACTGTCTGACTAACTCAGAAAAAAAGACTTCAAGAGGCTAGAAGAACTCATATAATCATTGTCGAAGACTCTGACCTCCATCATCAAGCAGACAGGATACAAATGAAGAAAATGCAACATTAGTTGTCCAATAACAAATCACCAAATATGATGAAGCACAATAACACTCCAGAAGAGTTCAAAGAATAATGGCAAAGAAACTGCAGGTATTTTTGTGTTGCCTGATGTCAGTCTATGTGTCTACCATAAGGAAAATACTGAATAAAAGCAAGATGTACGGGAGAATACCAAGGAAGTATCACACTCTGCAAAATACACTCTGCTGCCCATCAAAACTGAAGAAGCTTCTTGGATGAGAAGTGAAATTTTTTCAAAGGGAAAAAACAAGAAAGTTCAGTTGCTTTTTGGAAGAAGCACCTTTAGATTGCCCATCTCAAATTTGCGAAAGACCACGTGGATGATATAGAAGGCAACTGGAACAATGTTCAAAGGACAAATGAGATTAATATGGTTTTTTTGAACAATGAGAAATCTTAAGCTTGGAGAACACAAAAGAGTGTTCCATCACATTTCAGATGTGAAGCTTGCCAGCAGAAATAGTTGGATCTAGATCAGGGGTGTTACACTCTATTTTATTGAGGGCCATATCAGGGTTAGGTTTGATCTCGGGGGGCCGGAGGAGGTGGCCAGGGTGGGCGTGGCCAGCTCAATGCCACTTGTGTCAGGGGGCCGAGTGCTCTGCCACTAAAAACAGGCTCCGGAGTTCCGTTTACAGTTGCGATGGCCTCCTGCAACCCTCTGCCAGTGAAAGTGGAGCTTGGGAGGGCTGCATGTGGCCCTCCCAAGGTCAGTTTTCACTGGCAGAGTTACTGTTGTCTGGTCCTTTGCTCTTTTCAGGGCAGCCCCGCAGGCCAGGTCTAAGCACTCCGTGGGCCGTATGCAGCCCGCGGGCCTTGAGTTTGACACCCCTGATCTAGATAACTCGATCATTGATGGAACAATGGATTCTCTGCTGCACAGACGAATGCCAGGTGAATATGGGACAGGCTGCCCAATGATCAACAGGTACCTACAGGAAAACATTTGGTTCAAGTCACTGGTGCTGAAAGGGGCACCGTTACCACATCTAAAACTTCACACACTTTTTCCAGTGAGGTCACTGAAATGTTGGCTCATTTCTCTGTGTTTTTTTAGCCAGAATCTCTCTCTATTAAAATGACATGGATGACACTCAGATTACACGATCTGTGGTCACAATACTGGACATTTCTCAAGGGCTCATAAACTTTCTTTTACCACTGAATCCAGAGCAAAATATTCCTGCCCACAAAGCAAGCAGGAGTTAAGGAATGAGCTCTACATGAACTATGAGATTTGTTTAATAAAGGGGTACCCCTGAATTTAGTTCAACTGATGACTTCATGAACATGTTGGCTTCCACTGCTTCCTTCCAGAAACTTTTTTGAATCTCCTCTAGATTAAATTGGCTGACATTTCCTATGGTCTCCAAAAATTAACCAGGACCAACCTTGCTTAGCTTTTTAAGCCACAGTGGCGCAGTGGTTAGATTGCAGTACTGCAGGGTACTTCTGCTGACTGCCGGCTGCATGCAATTTGGCAGATCGAATCTCAGGGTTGACTCAGCCTTCCATCCTTCCGAGATGGGTAAAATGAGGACCCAGATGGTTGGGGGCAAGAGGCTGATTCTGTAAACCGCTTAGAGAGGGCTGTACAGCAGTATAAGTGCTATTGCTATAACAAAAATGAGGGTAGTGCTGTCTAGATTCAGTTTCAAACATAGCATCCTTGCTAGGATGACCTAGGAGGGATGACCAAAATCTTTTGATATGGGAATAAAATATTCCAGAATGTTTTAGTTCCCTCCAGAATATGCCAAACCTCCCCTTAGACCATGTCATTTCTAGAAGTAAATAGATATGATATTCCAGATGAGATCTCTAGTTTGAAGCTTATCTAGCCCCCGACAACTGATACTGACAAACTACTTCCATACCACTCCCAAGAAAAAGGTGTGTAGGCAGACACGGAGAGTCAGGCTCAACTCATGGGTGTCTGTTTTTCCAGCTCTGCAAAACGATGATGCCTCCAGGGCAAAGGAGTGTTTCTTTTAATCTAAGGCAATTGGCAGTTTGTCACAGAACAACAACTGCATCAAGAATAATGGAGACAAGGATGCCTCACTGATCATCATCTGGTGACACTGCCACCAGAGGTTATTGGAGTGAAGACTTACAAATGCCGTCTGTCCAATTAGTTTCATCTCATTTAAAGGCTGCGAATGTTTAGATTAAACATTGGGCTTTTTAATTGCAACACTCAAGCATTCCGAATAAAGAAAAACAAATACAATAAAGCCTGGAAATCCAGCCAGCAGAGTCCCTTCTTTATCGGACAAACAAATGACAAATTCCACGGACTTATTTGCTTAGACTTTTTCAACATGCTGTACCTTATCTCCACTTTATATATTTGCTATACAGCAGATTACAAGTCGTTCCTAAGCAGGCTTTCCCCTATGGAAAGAAGCTCCTAACCTCCCAAATTTAAAAAAAAACCAAAAAACCACAAAACCCTGCCTTAATTTAGATTCATAAAAAACCAGCGCCTTGCTGCATTCTTTAATAAGAACAAAGCTAAGATCCAACCCGGGGGGGAGGGGGGGCTGGCAGCAACCTGGCTTGAAAGTGCGTCACCTTCCCTTTCAAAGGACAAAGGTCACCCCCATCGGTAGGAGGTTGTATATGTTGGGTGTGCAAGATTCGTGCAACCGCGTTCGGCTCCGCCGGTTGTAACAACCCAGGAAGCGGCTGCGGCTGCCTGGACTTCGCTCTCTAGCGCAGCGTCTCAACCTCCTCCAACGTCCAGAATTCCCCACCCGCCCGAGGAATTCTGGGAGCTGAAGCCCGCCCCTCTTCAAGCTGCCGGGGCGCATGGGTCGGGGGGTCCCTCTGGTCCAGATGCGCGGCCTTACCCCCTTTGGGCTTGGACTCCCCCCCGGCCGGGCCGGCGGAGTTAGAGCGGGGCTGCTGCCCTTTGCCTCCCGTCGCGGAGGAGGATCCGGGGCCGGGGCCGCCGCAGGGGCTGTTCTTGTCCATGGCGTTGGCGGGCGGGCGCGGGGGCGCCGCTACGGAGCGGGCGGGAGGGCGGCTGGCGGCTGGGGCCGAGGCCCAGGCTCATGGCCCGGCGGCGGGGTCGGCGCAGCGCAGTCGTCTCGGCCACCCTCATGGCGACATGTTCCTCACGGCTTCGCCCGGGCGAGGGAAGGAACGGGCCGGGATGCTCCGGTGCCGAGTCAGAGAGACAGAGAGAGAGAGAGGCGGCCTGGCGCGGCCGGGCCTGCGCCCCGCGGACGGAGGAGCGGCCTCGTGAGAGGGCGAGGGCCCGCGAGGCCTCCGCAAGCCAGGCCCGGCCTTGCGCCGGCGTCTCGAGAGTGGCGAGAAGGGGAGTCCGCGGCCAAGGGGAGCCGCCCGGTCCGCCTCAGCGCCGCCGCCGATGCCTGTAATGGCGACGAGTCGCCCACAGCCCTGACGGGAAGGCCCGGATGGAGCCTTTCTCCAGGGGGCGGGGCGCGCCGCAAAGCATGCCGGTCGCGGTGGTTCCTCCCTCAGCGGCGGGACAGGCCAGGCGCCGGCCTCCTTTCCAAGGAAAAACTACGCCTCCCGACAGGCACCGGTTGAGGCTCGCCCAGCGGCCTCGTAGGCGTAGAGGCCGTTTTGGGATTTGTTGGGCAGGCCGAGTGTTGGGGTCGCTTGTTGCGGCTGAGCGCCTTGGGGGGTGGCGGCTCCCTCGGTTCCTGTGCCCGGGGAGGCTGAAAACTGGGTGCCCGCACTCTTGGCCTCTCCTAACTTTTCTAAACTCTGCAACCGACTTGCAATAGTGGTCAGTCGAGTGGGGAGTGCATAAGTGCACTAACTTGCCTATCCTCACTGACATCTTTATTCTCTTGTTCTTGTTTATGTTTGACAAATTCCGATAGATAGATAGATAGATAGATAGATAGATAATAAATAAAATAAATAAAATAAAATAAAATAATAAAATTAAAATAAAATAAAATAAGTCCCCTGGCTCCCAGTAAGACTTCTGGCGAAACTCTGCATTTTTCACCCCGAAACTCTCCCGTGGCTGGATTAACAGGGAGGGTAACCGTATTCCATATTCCTGCCTTATTCATGACCTAAATTCAGATTCCATTGCTGAAGCGATGAATGGTGGCTCAACCAGCCAGGGCACATAACTTTGTGAAGTTATGCGTAAATCAGCCTCGTTTTCCCCCTGGGGTAATTGCACTTAATTAGAGACGGGTGGATCTTGTTTTCCATGCTGTATACTTTAAAAAAAGAAAAACCGAAATATATATATTCTAATAAGGATTTTATTATACAAATAGAAAAACTAGCTAACTACATCTTTACCGGCAGCTTATCACTCAGACGAACAAAAGAAAAAAAAAACCAGGAAGTTAGAAAAGAAAAATGTAGACATGCGCAGTAGCTCAAAGTTTCACAAGACTAGTCTTATCTCTGTTGCTATAGATACGCGATAAAGTTCTCTGGCAGGCTACCATAACGCTCAGAAAGGACGCTCAGCTGACAAACACATAATGCAGTGACAGTATGGCTCCAGGTTAATTATGTAAAATGAAAGAGTTAGAAAAGCTGGGTTGTTGGACAAAATAATAGCTAAAATTACAGAATGTGCAGAACTGGATAAGCTCACAAAAGAAATACAAGAGAAAGACAATACTGATTACTATTTAGTATGGCAAAGATGGTACAGCTGGCTGGAGACAAAAATAGGAATATAAAGATAATTTTCCACTATTCAATAGAAATGTATAGAATTAAATAAAGAGTCAACTATATATATATATACAATCATGTAAATATGTGAATGTAGATATAGACACAAATAAAGAAAGAGAAATACGAAAATGACCCACCGTTTGTAGTAACTTCTAAGAGTCAGTCATTCGACTGAATTGATGTTTGTTCGTTTTGTATGTTGTTTTAATATATTTATGTTTGTATTTTTTTTATTATTAATAAAAATCTTTTTTAAAAAAAGAAAAGAAAAGCTGGGTTGTTAATCTTGTCCAGCCTCCTGCTTGGAGCAGAGTTGGCTAAATAAAACATTTCAGGCAGGCTCTGAAGATTTCCAATGAACGGCAATGTTGCCCTTCAAGGGGCAAACTATTCCACTGGTTGACAGCACTTTGTCTGAAGAAGTTCCTCCTAATAACTTAGCTTCCTGCTTCCCTGCACTTCCCTGCATCCTATTGCTTTTGGTCCCTCCCTCTGGGGCAGTGTTTTTCAACCATAGCAATTTTAAGATGAGTGGACTTCAACTCCCAAGGCAAATACCAGAATTTCATGGCTGGTATTCTGGGAGTTGAAGTCCACTCATCTTATTGTTATTGCATAACAGCAACAGCACTTAGATTTACATATGCTACATAGTACTTTACAGCACTCTCTAAGTTTACGGAGTAACCCTCTTGCCCCCAACAATCTGGGTCCTCATTTTACTGACCACAGAAGGATGGAAGGCTGAGTCATCCTTTAGTCAGTGAGAATTGAACTCCTGGCAATGGGCAGAATTAGCCTGCAATTACTGCAAAACACTAGGTAATAGAGGAATTTACCATTCCCTGCCCTATCTGACAATCCTTGAAGACCACTACAATATTGTACCAGTATCTCCCCTAGGTATCAACAGCATGATATACCCAGTTATGCATCTTTATTCCTGGATGAACAATAACGCAGTTTGAAGTAGTGAAAATAGCTAGAAAAACAGAAAATCCTGTTATCTGATGCATATGCTACCTTTTATTCAGAGCTCATGGTAATATATTGTGGAATTGGGAATACTTAGGAGGAGAATAGAATAGAATGGGATGGGATGGGGATGGAATGGAATTCTTTATTGGCCAAGTGTGATTGGACACACAAGGAATTTGGTTTTGGTGCGTAAGCTCTCATTGTACATAAAAGCCATAAATGATAAATCGTGATCACTATCATAAAAAATACATCATAAATCATGATACAACACTTAGTGATAGTCGTAGGATACTAAATAAGCAATCAATTATAAATCGTACTAGGAAACAAAATAATATAAACCGTACAAGCAACAAAGTTATAGTCATAAGTAGAGAAGGAGATTGGTAATAGGAAAGATGAAAATAATAATATTAATACAGTCTTACTAAATAGTATGCTTCAAGTCTTGCATGGGTGATGTTATCTCTTTAAGGTAACATCAAGGTTATCTCTCCAGATAAAAAGCACAATAAGAGCATCAGCACTATTTTATTGTAAGGTTACCCCAAACAGAATCTTACAAGACTGGAAGAACTTCTCCTCTCCTTTCTTTTTCAGCTCCAGAAAACTAGGGAGGGTCCCTTCTAAAGCGTTTCTTATGCTTTTCTCCCACCTGCAGACTGAACTGCCATCTTGTCAGACCATTGCCTAGGCCGCAGGTCTTCCTCCTGCCTGCCAGGTCATTCCTACAGATCATCACACTTACCCAGCATCCACTCCTTCAATTTTTCCCTACAATAACCTTCTGTACAAATGGAACTGAGAGGACAAGCTCCCAGATACACAGAAGGTGTCAATGGCTGTAGGTTGTTGGAAGAAAAATCCGGTCCGGTTCTAAAGCAGGAGAAAGATGCTGGAAATAAAATGGAGGGTGAATGGCTGCACGGAAAGGTTTATTTGGTTTCCAGAAACTTCACAGACAACAGCAATGTTTCTGGAGTGGCTGAGCCCTTGGTTTAGGAATGAATAGATGGGTTTTATAGGGTTCTGAGATGTTGCAGGGGGTTGTACAATGTAGTGAGCCTTGTGCCTTTTGTTATTCTAATGGTGGGTTAGTCCTATTATGTCCTAAAAGTAATATCATGTCCTTAGAATTTGGGTGTGGGGTGTAAATTCTTAATCCAGAATTTGGGTGAGGAATGTAAATTCTTAATCCTATCATCTGGAGCTGAAGGTTTATGAATAGATTGACTCAGTCTTTCTTAATAGGTACAAAATATCCATCTATAGATTGGAGGCTTCTGCTCCAGGTTATTAAGAAAGACTGGGGCTGCTTTCTGCCTTTAAGAACATGCTTCTCCATTTCTCCTTTGGGGAAATATCCTACCTTGCCTCTCTTTAATATTAAGAATAAATAATATTTTAATCCGGGGAGGGGGGGTTCCTACAAGGTAGACTTCAACCAAGGTTTTCTTCTGCCAGCCAAATCCCTTAATCATTAGACCATGCTGACTTTAAATTGGGCCCAGCAACCTATTGATAATCAGTGCAGCTACTGCAAGGTATATGCTGAAGCAGACTTCACTTCCTGTATCTTCAAGTCCAGGCCTGCATAGAGCATATTGCAGAAGTCAAGACCCGGTGATGATACGCATGAATTATTGCCACTGGTTCTGGAAGATCCATGACTGGTGCACCAGTGGATGTTGGGCAAAAGACAGCCTTCACATTAAACCATTGCTTAAGCAGGAGCTGAAATTCAGAACCCAAATTCAGAACCCCCAAATCACATAGCTTATTTAGGGGGATGGACCTTTGTCTAGAGCAATCACTAGGGCCAGTGTTCTTGAACTCCCCGATGTCTATGGACAAAACACACCTCTGTCCTGTTTGGGTTTACTCTGAAATCACTTCTACCAAATCGGTCCTTCAGACATGGGTTCAACACTTGCATAACAGCTTTAGTATACCTGGAACAATACTTTTTATTATGGGCCAAGATCAGAACGCAGCTAAAATGATACAGTACCTCACCCCAAACTAATAGATGCCTTCACCCAGAGGTTTCATATGGATGTTGCATCCATGGGCTCAATCATTCCTTCCTTATTCTTTGGAACCTCTCAATCAGTGAAGAGCAGAACCATTTTTTTTCTTTCTGACAGACTAGTGATTTCTGAAATTAGCATTTTGCACTATAACTCTGCAACAATATCTAATTAAATACGAAGGGGAAAAAAGACAGGCATGAGCCTGTCTAGCAGGACAGTTGCTGTTAAGAATTTCCTGATCCGTAAACAGGTTGTTGTCTGAAGACCAGGCAGTGGTGAAGTTTTTGGGCACCTGCATTCTTCACAGAACAAAGCTGAAGTCCATCTGGTCCAGCTTCCTGCTTTCCAGCTGGTTCCCCTGGGTAGGCTCATTTCCTTAGTCCAAATTTCCAGATTGTTGCAATACAATAGAAGCATAAAGTTAACCGCAGGAATTGAGTTCACACAAATTGCCACGGGTTCAACTGGGTTTGCCTAACTGGTTATTCAACACTTGGCTACCAGCCCCATCATTAGTAGCCATGTTTGGAAAGGGCCCATTGCCACCTGATGTTGAACCAGTGGGAGCATTTGCATGTCACCCTAGAGTAGACCAGTGCTTCTCAAACATGGCAGCTTTTCAGATGTGAAGACTTCAATTCCCAGAATTCTTCAGCCAGCCACTTAGGGAATTCTGGGAGTTTGAGTCTTCACATCTTAAAAGCAAACT